AATTGGTACACCCTTAAGCCTGTGCTGTATTTAAGCAAGATGCCAGTGTAAAAGAACAAGGTTAAACAGCACTGAGGCTGACTGCCGCGTGGCATTCATTCAGGTTCAGCGGGAAGGTACGCCAGGGAAAGGATTATGACATTTCAGCGTGAAGAAAAGTCGTCGTCATGAGGTGGTCCCGTTCTGAAAAATAAACCACCCCGCTCGCTCGAGTGCCGGCGCTGCGCCTGTGGAAGCAGGGCTGGATCAGAATGCCTGCGAGCACTCTCCGTGTCGTTTGTTATTCCCCTCACACGCCTTTCGGTTTGCCTTTCTGACATCCCCTCCATCCTGTATGCTGATGCCTATCCCCTCCGGCTGCCGCTGCTTGAGATGTGACAGTTACCTGAGACTCAGCTTCTTAAGACAGGCAAATTCTTTTTGTTTTCCGTTCTCCTCAAGAGCGTCCTCTGAGAATAGAAAAGACTGGCATGTTTGTCTTCAGTTAAAAGCTGCGGAGGGGAGGGGAGAAAAAAGCCAAAAAGCGACGCAATTTGAGGAGATGCGCACTCATAAACATGTTAATATTCTTTATGTAATTCTGAAAGTTGGGTACGAAAGGCAAGGTCAGACCGAAGGTGATGTTGGCTCTCGGTAACACGCAGGGATGATAAACAGCTTGGAAGGTTTAATGTTTGCTTTGTTCCCTTTGCAAAAGAGCAGCATTTGGGCTATTAAATAAAGATTAAGCTCCTGGGGAAGGTGCGGATGAGGATGACCTCGTGGAGGCCGGCCAGTTCAAGGCATGCAAAATGCATTCCACTCTGCCATTAGAGTGGTTCCTTGATGACAGGCAGGCCGTGTAGAGTTACCACACTGCTTTCCTGTAAGCTGAAATCAAAAGGATCAGGTGCAACGAGCTGTTCAAGCCAACACAGGCTTATGCAATCTAGTTCATCAGAACTCATGTTCAGCTGCAAAAAGAAAACTGTTGTCTATTCCACTGACTTGTCATGCCAATCTGTGGGCTTAAACTCCACTGCAGGAGTAGTAGATGGAGTCACAGTCATAGTAGAGTCACAGTGCTGTCGCCTTTGCAGCCATGACCAGGTAACAACGCGCTTGTCTAAAACGAATCTGAAATGAACTGCAGTGCGAGTTTTTTTTCCCTGCTATTTCTGGCTCAAACACAGAGCAAGTGGGTGATGGGTTGAAGGCTGAGCGTTCACAGAAAACAGCAGCATGACTCAAGTTGTACAGCAGGCCCTTTGACCATATCGCCCGGAGGCTTTAGTACGTCTGGGGAAAGCACGTGGTTTTGGGGGCTGTCCAAAGAGTTTATCAGAAGCACTTATGGAGAACCACTTGTTTGGTGTTAGCTTTTTTCTTAACCCGTTGATGGTAGAACAGAAAGTTCTAGGCTTGCAGGGAGTGCGGCTTTAACTACTAAGAGTGTGACAATATATTCAGCCCACAATTCTGTTTGATTCACAATCAGGATCATGATATTTTGGACAAAATTTGAATGACAATAATCATGTTGCTGCACAACGAGAGCTGGGAGGCAGGTAGTACATGTCTAGGGACAACTTGTTAAACTTTCGGTGCTGGAAATCCACCGCAAACAAGTGAATGCCCCCTCTAAAACCTGCCCCCAATATTCCCCTAGTCTGTGGTCTTTTAATGTCCAGGTTAGCAGAAGGCTGTCATTAGCTAACAGAACGGTTTACCTTGTTTATTTTTACAGCTTGACATGCTAACTTGTGTTGCATTGATGGGCTAACGAGAGCCTTGTTCTCTGTGAGACAATGACTCCATTTACACTTGGTCATGTGACTAGTATCTGGATTGTATCCTGAAAAGATTTTAGCCACATGCATTTACACTCAGTAGTCAAATTCGTCTCCAGTTAGCCGAACTGAGTCCGATTGCTGAATATGCAAATCCCCTCGTTCTTTGGAAGCCGTTCTCCGAGAGCTGTTTAGATGTTGCTCGAATGTTGCACGGTTCCCGTAAGTCATCTGCAGTTTGTTTTGCACAGTAGCATCTGTCTTTATTGCTATTAAGCGTTTCATTTCGTTCGGTTCCCAACCATGTGTGTCCTCTATGACTGTCTTCCTCACAGACACGGATTACATGCCCCGTGATGTACTGCATGAGTTTCAGTTGTGCTGGGAAGGGTTTTAGTTGTCGAATCTATCTTGGCGAGATGGTTGTGTTTACACTGCTATAATGTGGCTCAAATTCGTCTCAGTCCACCTCCTAAAGTGGTTTGATTGATCAAATTTGTATCTGTTTTAAATGCATCTTGGCTGCGTTTACACTTGCATTTTTATGTGGTTTGGCCTCATCCAGATATAATCCTGATAGTCAAGATGCATGAAATGACCAGGTGTAAATGGGGTCAATGTTGACTAGCACACCAACGCCCCCTACTTTGAGCTCTGTTCTTTGGATTGGATTGATTTAGACATTTCACACCCTAATAAGTCTACATTCCCATCCACATTTAGCCAAAAAAATCTCATGGTTGTCCCCAAACATTCCTGCTATTAGATCACACCTCAAATGCCTTTTCAATATAGTCACGGTATTCTGGATGAACTTTAAAAGAAGATTAATATCGACTATAATCACATTGCGCAACTTACTAACGATGCTAGTCCTGGGAGGCAGGTAGTCTCATGGGGTCAAACATGATCTCATAACGAGAATGTCTGGGGGCAGCAATGAGGAATGTACCTCTGAAGTCGTGTCATTCTGTAGTCAGTGTCTTGCCTATATTCCTGTCCTTCCATGCCATTTTCACACACTGTGGTTGGTATATAGTGGGTAACACCTCTGCCTTCTATGCTGTAGACTGGGGTTCAATCCCCACCTGGGTAAACACCCTACACTATACCAATAAGAGTCTAAGAGATTCCTAACACTACTTTTGCCTACATGTAAAAAAAAAAAGAAGGATCAAATTGTAAGTCGCTCTGGATAAGAGCGTCTGCCAAATGCCGTAAACGTAAACAAAATGTTCCAAGCCTGATGTTTTGTCATACAGACCTTTTTCCTCAAAGTGTCACCAGATCCTCTGAATTGCGAGATCATGAAGGAGCTGAAATATGATTATAGTCATATGCACAAGGAACATTAAGCTTGCCAAAATACCACAAACCAGCAAACTTTGTAAAAAGTGGTAGTTAAGTTGCTTTGGCAGTTTTGGGCTACAGTTTGAGTATCGGGTTTTGGTATATAATAGTGTTGATGTTTCATAGTATTTTAGCATATTTTCATGCAACCTCATGTCAGGGTGCTGGAGTGTTGGCTTAGATCGGATGACATCAGGGTGGATCAGCAGGGGGACCACCACGGTTACCACAACGGCTGTTCTTATTAATGTAAAGTTTTAATAACATTTTTTTAACACTTGACTGTTTTGGAACTGGGGCAGCATGGTAGGTGGGTAGCACTGTCACCTCACAGCAACATAACATTATGACCACCTCCTTGTTTCTACGCTCATTGTCCATTTTATCAGCTCCACTTACTATATAGGTGCACTTTGTAGTTCTACAGTTACAGACTGTAGCCCATCTGTGTCTCTGCATACTTTGTTAGCCCCCATTTACCCTGTTCTTCAGTGGTCAGGACCCCCATGGACCCTCACAGAGCAGGTACTATTTGGGTGGTGGATCATTCTCATCACCACAGTAACACTGACGTGGTGGTGGTGTGTTAGTGTGTGTTGTGCTGGTACAAGTGGGTCAGACACAGCAGAACAACACTGATCTATGTATGTCTGTGTGTCTGCCCTGTGATGCACTGGCGACCTGTCCAAAGTGTTTCCTGCCTTCCATCCAATGAATGCTGGGATAGGCTCCAGCAACTCCCGCGATCCAGGGGGATAAGCAAGTTAGATGATGAGTGAGTGAGTGTATATAGAATAAACATGTTTCTATTACTGTGGCCACAAATTCTTAGTTTGGCCCACAAGATTCGTTGGCTTGGTGGCCTCAGTGGCCAGTGCAAAATGCTATACCTGTCTTCTGCTGGTTACACCACTTCTAAATTCATATTTATAGGGAAAATCGCATTGCCTTGTTTCTTTAATGGGATAAAAGTATTCAAGAGATGTACTTGACTTTTTCCCTTTTGTTTTTCTCAAGAGTAATCAGCACTAGACGGTGATTGAAATGTCAAGAGGCTGCGGAAAAGTGTTGGGTAGGGATTAAGGGAAATGAGAAATCGTTTCTGAACTGAAACTGAAAACAACCAGGAGAGAGCTTTAAAAAAAAGAACCACAAAAGCCTATTGTTGCATAAGATCCCTCCTCTTTTTTTGGTTGCTATTGGACTCCATGGATATAATTTTGATGACATAACTGTGCTGTTACAACACAAGGAAAATTTTTAAGATAGGGAAACAATAAATATGGAATATGGAGTGATACAATATTGAGCTGCCGTGCTGATTTTAAGACTTTTTTTGGAGCATCTATGCATGTGCTATCCCATAGAGGAAGAGGAGTGTGTACTCCCCACCCCCCCAGGCGTTCCCCCTCTCAAATCCTAGCTTTAATTGTGGCGTACTAAGCTAGGGACCGGAGTAATCAGATCAGAGATGAGAGCTGCAGGCACATACAGAGACAGAGCGCCAACGCTGGATTAAAAAAAAAAAGCCCTGATTGAAGTCGACTAGTCCCCGCTAGTGAGTAAGTGAGAGAGAAAGGGAGAGAGGGAGAGAGGAACAGCCGTGAGAAGGAGTGGGAGGAAGAAAGCACCAGAAAAGGGAGACAGTGCAGTGTAAGAGGGGGAGCCAGAGAGAGAGAGAGAGAGAGAGAGAGAGAGGGAGGAGGGGCGAGAGGCAAGCGATGGAGAGACAGGAAACGTGCAACAGCCACTGAAAACTGGAAAGGCAGGAAGAGTGAAGGAAGGAGAGGAAAACGGAGGCCCTCGGCCAAGCGCAGGGGCAATGGGCGAGGAGGAAAAGCACATGCGCCTCTGCAGGAGGAGGGAGGGAGGGAGGGAGGGAGGCCGGCAAGGATCCAGCAAGATTGAAAAACACGGGGATAACATCAGAAACAAGGAGTGACAGGAAACAGAGAGGGAAAGGGGTGGCGGAGGGGGGCCTGCGCAGCCCAAAACATCAGGGGAAAAAGTTTTAGGGTTCGGGCAGGTACGAGAAAGAAGTCCAGAAGGAGTGGCCAAGGTTGGACGCAGGTGAGAAGGACAGGTTTCTGTTTGGGAGCATCAATCTGAACCCACTGGTCTGCTTCCATCAGGCTCTGGGGAGCACTCTGCCCCCTTGTTCTGGCTCTACAATGGTCTACAGAAGTGGACCAAGATGGACCACCCTGCAAAGACTGGAAAAGGACCTCCCGATTAGTTTTGAACAGGACAGCAACGAAATGAGCTCCCACAGATCCAAGAGGACCCTCTGCAATGGATACAGCCACCATTCCAGCTTATCCCTTGCCACTCTGGAGTGCCACGCGCAGCTAGTTACGGCTGGCCAAAGCTGTCAGACTGGGTCCAGCACTATGAGGTGGGGCAAGTGTCAGAAGGCGCAACACAACAGCGCCTCTGTGAGGGACTGCTTGAGAGAATGCGGCTTTGTGGCCAACCTCCGCCAGACCCAGACACCCCTCCCTTCTAGGAAATGTGCTCTGGAGTTGCCGACACAGTTCATAGGTCAAAGAAACTGTGGAGCGCCTGTTTGTGTGGTGGACCAACAATCCGGCTCTGTTAGAGAGTTGCAGCCTTCTGGGCAGACTGAGGCAAACCAGCACACCTTTGACAAACGCTGCAGACTGAAATCAAACTGTGGCAGCAATCTAGAACCCTCCTGTGTGGACAGCGCTAAAAAGAAGTCAATGGGACACGTAGCGGAAGATGGTGAAGGGCCCAGGTCCATGCAAGTTATCTTCTCTACAGAAGTTCCGCAAGACGCCGCCCTTGAACGCCTTAAAGGCAGTTCTGATTCGGCGAAAGGGGGCGACTCGAAGAACCGGTCCAACACCATGGGAGAGGGCCTGAGTGGAGAAACATACATTTTTAGTTCGAAGAAAACACAGAGGGTTCTGCAGGACCAGATTCGCAGAGTGGTTGTAAACCTGGAGGATGTTCTGCAAGGCTTGAAGGAAGTCCATCTGGAGATGAAGGAGGTAAAAGGTTTCATTTCAGGCCTAGAGTCTTCTTACTGCTCCTGGGGATCCATAGCACAGTACAGTTTCAACTATTCCCTGCCCCAGAACACCTGGTCCAGATCATCAAGTGATTATTCGAGCCCTTTATGAGCTGGACCAGGTAGGGAACAGTTAAAACTGGGGGTCCCCAGGAACATGATTGGGAAGGAACAGCATATGAAGTACTAACACGTTTCTCATTAGTTACTAGAACAGAGGTGTCTGTAGATTTGCGGCCACAGCTGTGCACATCGATATTTCGGCCACGTAAAGTAAAAGAACATCTTTTCGCCAAAAAAAAACACTAATGGAACAGCTACTACGGCTGACATGAAACCTGGTAACAAATGCAAACAAAAGATCATGGAGCATGATCTGCTCCATTTCCCCAAACGAATGCCACGCTTTTTAGGGATGCCAGGCTGCACCTTTTTTAGCGTCCCCTCAGCTGGCTGGAGTGGATAGAGTGGGGCAGCTGGAAGGCAGGACGGCTGCCTATTTTTAGTTCCACGCTGCTGCGTCCTAATCTCATTTGCACAAAAGCATCCCATCGGCGTCCTTGATGTTGTCTGCGTCCATGTGGCACCCTGATTGTTTTGTTGTTGTGAAACTGGGAACGGGTTCAGGGCTGCGGGCTAATACAAACACGGGTGGGTAGGTGGCGTTACGGTTGAGTGATGCTGCAGTGTTTCGTCTTTCTCTCAAACCCAGGTGGTCCAACAGATTGACCTGCTGACCTCCAACATTGACCTGGGAGAGGAGGATGCCAAAGACACTTGTGGAGGCTCTACCAGGAGAGGACCTGCATCAGAAGAGGCGTCAAAGAAGATCCGCTCCGTCGGGGACAACTCTGGACGCCCCGACAGTCCACCTCGTAATCCGTCGACAGTGCCAAGGGCCTACAAAAGGTTCCAGGCAGTTGAAAAAGACCAGCATGAGCGTAAAACCGCCCCTCGTTTGCCCCCACCTGCGTACCCAACTGGCACAAACAGTTCAGCGCCAAAATCAATTCTCGGAGTGCCAGAAAGTACAGGAGCCAAATCAGAGGCCGCTAAAGGGCCTAGGAGCCAGAAGAAGCCCCCTCCTTATCCCTTCAGCAGCAGAGCTGGGAGGGCAGCTAAAGGGAAAGATGCAGGCCTGAAAACTCCCCCTTACTCGGGCAGGCGAAAACTGCTTTCCACCACTGTGTAAGGGGGGCCGCTGCTTCAGGGCAGCCAGCTAGCAGAAGATTACTCACCAGCTTTGGAAGAAGCCGGTATCCAAGGTGACAGGCGCTGTTAAGTAAGTATGGTCTAAGGAGCGCTGTAGACTGATTCAGCTCCCCGCTATTCAAACACAACTCACTCTTGAGTGCAGCATGTATGTTAAATACGGACCATGGTGTGCTGCAAGCCATTTACTGCAGGAGCCTGCAGGAGGGGGAAAATGTCAAAGTTAGAAGTAGAGGCATGAGGCCAGCTGGAGATTACTCACAACCTTAGAGAAGGCACATCTGGAGCAGGACACAGTCATTACTGTTGCAATCTCTGTAAAAGGGGATTTTATATTACGTTGAAGCATAATTCAGTTGTCCAGATGTAAGCAAAGTCATTCAGAGAGGTGACTGGTTGAGAAACAACTGGTTAAGACAGTGGTGGTGATAGGAACTAGGGGTCACAATGTCTACAGTGCAAATATAGCCATTTTGTTATGCAATATGGCCAGTGAAACTATGTGTCTTCTGAGTTTTTGTCGATAATGGCAAAAAAGTGGTAAATCTGAAAAACACCATGTATTTTTCTACTTGAAGAAAAATAGGTTTAGGCCAAAGTCTTATCTTAAAACTATTGTAAAACACTGTCCTGGGTAGGTTGTAGAGGCATTCAATGCTTCAGACATCTGGTTCCAATCACCACCACTGTAAACAATTCTGACTCAGTAAGTTTCTCTATGACAAAGCATTTCACATCAAACCACTGTAAATGACTTTGTTTACATCTGAACCTTTTAATTATGTAGAAACTTTGAAAAATCATTACAGTTCGCCCTTTAGAGGGGTTTATTTCTTCTGCTGTCACCACTGTTGTCACTCACTGTAATTTATTTTCATTGATTACCTATCGCCTGTTCAAACTAGTTCTCAGCATTTTTGGCAACTGCTAGATGCTTATGATGCACAGAGAGTGTGTCCCTCTAGTGGCGAGTGGGGCTCACTGCATTTACTGCAGTGCATTTCAAGAAAAGGGGGCATGAAATCAGAAGACAGTGGTTTCAGTGAATAGCTGTCCACTCTGAAGTACCTGAAAGTCTTCACTCTGAATCACTCGGTCATTATAAAGCAGACCTCCTGAAGTATATCGAGCTCAGCAGCTTGTTTTAGGTTTAAATACTGCTTGAGATGAACTGGTTAAAGGGAAACTCCATCGATTTTTAAAAAATTCTACATAATTAAATGGTTGAGATGTAAACAAAGTCATACATAGTGGTTTGGTGTGAAACGCTCCGTTCTACAGAAAAATACCAACTCAGAATTGTTCACAGTGGTGGTGACAGGAACCAGACGTCTGAAGAGAGTTTAATTACCTGAAATGGTAAGATATATGCCGCCTGATGTCCGACGTTCATGGTGGAGGGATACATCCAGGGCATTGTAAGGCAAAATAGTCCTCAAAGAAAACGTACATTTTCAGATTTATGACCATTTTACCATCTTCAACTCGTGTAGGTTCACTGGTGGTTTTGGATAATACATAAATGGCTGTATTTGTGTTATACACATGGTGACCCCTGGTTCCTATCACCACCACTGTAAGGAAATCTGAGTCAGTACGTTTCTACAATTTCACGTCAAGCTGCTCTGAATGATCGTGTACATCTCCGAAAAATTGTCGGAATCCCCCTTTAACATCTGGAGGGAGACCCAGATGGCAGAGCTTTGGCTCGTAGCCACAGTAAAGAAAATAGGATGTTGTTTTGTAAGGAACGCAGTTATTTGTACAGACTTTTTTGCTGAAGTGAGTGAAAAAGTCACACAGTCAGCGCTACAGCATTCTGAACCGACAAAGTGCTAACGCGGCCTACAGCGACAGAATGCTAATAGTTAGCACGGTTCTCCTTCTGGATGCTAATTGGCTGCTGCCGGCGTTCACTACTCATTAGCAGCATTAGCATTTTCACTCAAACCATTGCTTTATCTTTCCCAGACCATTTTGTCAATTACAAAGAGGATGAAAATAAGTTGCTCTCTTTGATAAAAGCTGAATTTATTTATTAAAATCTGAATACACGGTTCATTAGACCCAGGGTGTGAAAAAAATAGTTGTTTATGTAAAATCCTGGTGGAAAAGTGGACACTACTGTTGTTTCTTTTAAATCCCCAGGCAGTCTAGGATGACCAGACAGGATGAGGAGGAACTGATCAGGAACAGAGGACATCTATACAAAGCGAGACGGTATGTATTATACATGATACTGAAACATAATCCGTAATGTCCTCCAACTCTGAGCTCTGGGGCATGTAATGGCAATGCTAGACCGAAACCTTAAACTGGAAACCAGTGCTAGAGGGCTAAAATGAAAGCTGAAATAAAGATCCTTACACCCATCACCTGCTTTTAAGACAACTTTGTGAAAAAGTGTACCTTCTTAAAGGGCCCACATCATAGAAAACCTTCACATTTTTGAAATTCTGAAGTTTGAAGTAATATGTAGTTTCAAAACATACTATTCACTACCCAGTTCATATGGTCCATATATGGAAAATAAGCTTCAAAAACATTAAGTTCTGAATGAACTGCTTCTGTGATGTCATAAAAACCAGCTCATTTACATCCATCCACCTATTCAGCCTACAACAGTTTATCCTCGCCCATTCATACCGAGTGCTTTTTGAATAGGGCCCGATACAGGACAGCCAATCAGAACATAGCTTATCTTAATTTGTCTTTAATCTGTTTTAAAGGCGCAGTAACAAAAACAGCCTGTTCAAGTTATATCAAGTGATAAAGAATAGGTGGAAAACGGTCACGTAAAAATGAATTACGACCATTTTTGGTACATAAAAAGAAACATATGTGTGGACCTTAAGTTACTAAAATAATACAGAAGGAAAATGTATGATATGAGCCCTTTAATGTACATGAAGTACCCCAAAGAAATTATTCTTAGACGGCTATCCAGGTCTCTTTTCTGGGATCCTTTAACCCTGTCAATCATGTTTATCCCAGGAGACGTAAAGCAATTTCTGTAGATACAAGTCTCTGATAAGAAGTCTCTGTTTGATTTGTTGTCCTTTCATCTCTTTCGTTTCCATTGCTCAGATGTCATAGAAGACAGTTCGGTGATGGAGCTTCAAGAACTTTCTGGAGACTCATCCATCCTCTTTATCCCCCCCTGTGCGTTAGGGTGGGTGTCTCCGAGCCGGACGGATCAGAGCTCGTCATGGCGCGTCCGTCCAATGATGGTCAGCTTTGAGAGTTCGGCGCGGAATTTACCATCGTTATGGGTCACTGGAAGAGGAAGGAGAGTCGACAAAATGTGAGGAAGCACATAAATGTGACTCAGAAACAGCAGGTGACGAGACAGAAGACTGTACAACTGCTTCTTGGAAAAAAGAAAGAAAGGACCGCTGTTCCCCTTCAGCACAATCGCACTGTGAGCTTTACATGATAAGAAGGTGGGAAATAAAGGAAACTGTGTCGGTGCGTTTTTTATGCAGTGAAGGCGCCTCACCTGTAGAGTCACCTACTGTGTACTCCTCATTCTTCAGAGCAACATCCTTTTGACCTCCAACAGCCGCCTGGGACTGAGAGAGAGAAAGGGGTAGAGAGAGAGGGGTAGAGAGAGAGTAATGATTGATGCCAGACAACAAGAAAGCAGTGAAGCAAAGAGGGAGAAATACCACAAACACCCGAGAAAATGAATAGTGTCTGTGGAGCTCTTATTATTTCAGATACATTCTTTCTGAAGTTTTTTTTCCCCTTGTTACACAGGGGTCTGCCACAAAAAATAAAAAATAAAAAAACACCACTGTAAGTTGCCTGCAATGATTTTGATGAGGACATGCTCTGCAATACCTCCCAAGAAGAGCCTGCATGCGGTTGAGCTTTTGATCTGAGATAACAAAGGTTGATGTTTCAAATTAAGTTTCCACCATCAAATGTACCAGGCAGGTTTAACATATCGCTGTTGTCGGAACAAAACCTCATATCTCCAAAATGGTAACTTTACAGGAGAAAAAAAAACATACTTTACTTTTAATGTAAGTCAATGGAACCAGACTTTTTTCCAAGTCAATTTGAGCCGTTTCTTTTGGTCCATTCGTCATGAAATTTACGTACAATGTAAAGAGCAACAGGCATTTTCAAATTATGTCAAAAACTGAAAAACGACAAAAATGGAAATACGAGGTTTTCTTCCGACAGCAGCGATATGCTGATTTCACCACTTAAGATGTATTTCACCATTTATGATGTATATGATAAAGTGCTACAGGAAAAGGTTTGTTGCTCGGTATTGAGTCAGTTTTCAAGAGAGATGCACCAGTATGGGAATTGTGGGCTGATGCCAATATCTGTTAATTAACACAAACATACAGGGCTATGCAAAAGTTATAAGCACCTGAAAAAACTGCTATTTATCTGAATAAAACTGCTATTCATCTGAAACAGCTATTTATTTGGGCAGTATGAGTTCATTTGCTCAAAAAACACATTAGAATAAACACAAACAGTATCAGTACTATAAGTTGTGATTTCATGTATGTAGAAGTGTTTGTTTAAAGCTGCACTGTGTCAGATTTGGGGATTTGGAGACCTCTCTGGTGGAAATGTGTAATTGCATGCAATGTGCAGATGAATCTGATTTGAATTGAAGGAATTCAAAGAGAACTCAGTCTAAACTCGGTGAAGGAGCGTCTTCTGAGGATGTGAGTTAATTATCTACTATTGTCATCACATCTTCATCAGTATGATGTCAATTTTGAGATCATTTGAGACCTAAACATTGAGCCGGACCTTCTTTTTGAGTCTGTGTGACATTAATATGTAAAGACGTACAACGCGGTGTGAAAAACTCCCAACCCGACACCTTTGACATATAAATGATTATTTCAGGCTTTACAGGGCAACTCTAACTATTTTAGCCTGTTTTTATTCTCCTTATCTAGTAATGATACTTCTTTCAACAATATTACATAGTGCAGCTTTAACCATTTCCAAATCTCACTTTGTGGTAGCGCAGTTTTAATTGTAATCATCCAACCATCCATTGGGAAATAAATTTTTGTTACTGTTTGTTTACTGTGATTGTGTTTAGTTGTACTTATTCCAATGTTATATATACTTTCACTGGTGAGATAAGTGGTTTTATACAATTTTGGTTAGGTGCCAAATACATGTGCACAGAACTCTATCAATCAACGCTGATACACGCACATTTATAAAAAGCAGAAACTCAGATGAGATCCGTCTGAATTAGCATCACAGATAAATATAACCTTTTTTATTTTTGTAGGGTTACAAATAAAATGCATATATCTTAGCGCTGTAACCCAATACTATGAAGTACAATTAATACATGATTAAATTTTGGTTTAATGATTGTTCAAATCCAAGCAGTGGTCAAATGACAATACATTATCATGTATTTCTGATTATCTAATACATTTATGAAGCAACCAGATGTGTGGTTCTAGCAAGGGTGGGCAACATGGCAAAAAATAAAACATCATAATACTTGAAGACATTGACGATTTTCAGTGTTTCTGATGTATGAAAAGTTGGAACAGACAAAAACAAACCAGTAGTGCCAGCTAAGTAAAAAATACTATCAAAATACTATAAAAAAAACTGCAATGATTTCAATTAAACAGGACTAATTATGCTCTCTTTGTAAGGAAACATTGTGTGGTTCAGTTTTGTTCAGTCCTGATGTCATCAGCAGCGTACTGTGATGTAATTTATCATGACACGATATTTATATGAATGATGTTTACCATCATATTGCATAGTATATCCTAGGCTTGGTAAGGCTGGTGAGAAATGCACTGCATCTTGTCGAGTGATACTCACATATGCACTGGCGTACTCAATCTTAGCTCCTTTAATCTCCGCTTTGAACTGCGTGAAAAACAAGTAGGATTTCCCCTGGGGCCTTTCATTAAAAAGGAGTGAGAGAGAAAGAAAAAAAAAATCAATATGATTCCCTTCATCTCAAGATGCATGACAATGTATGAAAACAAAGACAGAATCAGGATATCATAATGCATTTTACTCTATTACATCCTTTCCAAACAGCGTAGCACAAACTGCTGCACGTTTTAAAGGAGCAGTGAATGTTTCTAACAGTGAATGAACACAGAGAGCCACTTATTACCATCATGCAAAGTGCATTATGCTAACTGTGCGTTTAACCAGAGCCAGTTTATGAGGAGCCTGGCCACGTCCTATTTCCCCCGTTATATCAAAAACAGGACTGCTAAACAGCAGAGGGCGCCCACGAGCGAGTCCTCAATGAATGGGGGTGAAAGGAGCTAAATGGCTAAAAACAAAAAGTTAAAATAGTTTCTAATCTCTCACCCAGAACTTTCCTTTAATTTTAGAAAGTATAAGTTTGTATTTCACTAAAAAAGCAAAGAAATCTTACCTGCATGTTTCCTTTACTCTACAGCAAACGGGTTTTGGGCAGCAGGGCGCTAACATTACCGCTACTGAGTGCTGATTGGTTGGCGAGCGGAGCAGCTTATTGGCTGTTCACGCTCACTGACGTCATGAATGTACATCAGGCGCCGTTTTAAACTCCTATAACTCGAGTTTAAAAGCTCTTAAAAATATAACAGCAGTGTTAAAATGTTTTATGCTGCTCTGTGTTCAGGAAATTATTGTATCCTTTTACATTAAAAATGTTTATTATTTTTATTATTTATCATTTATAAACTATGATTTTACTCAAATGCTCCATCTTAACCCATTCATTTTGGACTCGCTCGGGGACGCCCTCTAGAGTTTGAGAAACCTGGAACACATTTTAGAGTGGGAATTCTCCTCTCTACAAGTTCTCGGATTTAACTTCCTTTTGTCTGTTGTTAGCCACATTAGCAGGTTTGGTTCAGCTGTTAATATCAGTAAATTCAGGTCTACTAGGACAGCGTAACAGAAGTGTGTGCAACGTGCACTTTCCAAATAAACTGTAAACATCTGTGAACAAGTGGTAAACCGTGACTATCAGAGCTAGGCCTTCAGTTTGGGCCATACATGACAAAACAAGGTTAAAAACAACCTCTATGCTAACGCTAACGCTCCTAGTATTCTAGTAGGATGCTAAGCTGATGAACATTTTTTAGCTGTTGTTTATAAAACATTTGAAGCTTAAAAAGACATTCATATATATTTTATCTCGTAATTATTTTACAGTAACTGTTTCAGTAAAGAGTCCTGATGCTGTTTTTGATCCAACTAACCTGATTAGATTACATCCTTTACAAAAAGATGGTTCTTTAATAAAGAAACTGGTTATATATAGAAGCATAAACACTCAAAGAACCCTTTGCATTTCAGATTGATGGAGAATTGTTGTAGATGGTTCTATATAGAACCCTTTTCAAAAAGGGTTCCACTATTGTTACAAGCCAAAGAAGCCTTTTTTTGTACTATATAGAACCCTTTTTTGCTCAGAGTATGGCTAGAACTTCCAGAAACAGTAGATTGAGAGTATAACAAAAGTTGTCCCACTGTAAATATATATATATATATATATATATATATATATATATACACACATATAACGTTTTTAGTTAACCTAATGTGTAAGGCCTTCAGTTCAGCTCCTGAAGTCCCAACCGATGGGAGAGCTTACTTGGCTGTATCTATCAAGACACCACAGAGAAAAAAAATGGATAATTTTCCGTTTGGTGTTTCAAGAATTTAACCTTTCGTTTCCAACAAAAACTTAAGAGTATTACTACAGTACAGTTTAAATACAATAAGCATGACGGCTATCTTTTTTTTTTTTAATCACAGAAATCATTTGGCCTTCTTTGAAGGCCTAGAAGGCCCTGAGGGTTCACCTCTGCTGTGACCTTGGGCACTGAATATTAAGCAGTCTGAGGTAACTTGGCTGCACTGACTGCTGAAGCGCCACACAGGGATTTATTACGCCTACCTCCATACGGAGCAGGAGAAGAGCTTGTCATCGTCACTCAGACCCACACTCATCTGCCACTGCTGCAGGAAAAACACACACAGACAAATACTCAGAGACACCATCAGAAACAAGCTTTACATTAGAGAATCCCCCAAACCCACAGAGAGACAACACAGCCAAACGGTTTTATAACTGATGAGTAATATTCCTGAATCACTGTGTATAAGAAGCAGTTAAAGGAGAATCCCACTAGTTTTTCAAAATTTCTGCAGAATTCAGTCATGGAGATGTGAGCAAAGTCATTGACAGTGGTTTGATGTGAGACGGTTCGTTGTAGAGAAACATACCACCTTGGACTTTTACAGTGGTGGTGATAGGAACCAGGGGTCGCCGTGTGTACAGCAAATATAGCCATTTTATTTACCATCCAAAACTTCTGAGTTTCATATGTAATGCTGATGGTAAAATAGTGGAAAATCTAAAAGAATAAGTGCTTTGAGGACTATTTTGCCTCACAACACCCAGCATGTGTCCCTCCACCATGTTTTTTAAAAATATAAACCAAAACCTCCTCATAAAACTACTGTGCCAGGCTTCAGACAGCATATTTATTTCATGTAATAACTTTCTGTGGGGGAGGTTTTAGAGGCATTAAAGGCTTGAGACGTCTGGTTCCTATCAGTTCTGATAGGGGTAAATGGCACATCTCACAAGAAACCACTCTGAATGACTTTGATGACATCTTAATTACTTAATTATGCAGAAATTTTGAAACACTGGTGGAATTTTCCTTTAAGTGTGTGTGTTAATGTGCAGATCATCTATGGTTATAACTGAATTTGATTTCTTTACAGACAAACTGGCCAATGGCTAGTTTTAAATGTGTTGAATGCACACTGCATTTGCGGCTCAGTTTTGATGTATGGACTGGGGAGTGAATGGTACATTTTTAAACTTTAACCATGTTTATATACATCAAACTTAGATTTTTCTTCCCAAAAAAAGTAGGGAAATTTGAGTTTTCCAGGATATGGGACTTTCAACAGGTACCAAGTACTGAGATATACAGATGTTATTGTGTCATCTTAATCAGAGCAGTTCAGAGGCCAAACATTTACATCATGATAATGACACATCGGTCTCACCTCATTGGTACCTCCTTGCGAAGCATAGGTAAAGATGCATTCATACTCTTTCTGGAAAATAAAAAATAAAAACTGTTATCAGTGTTTAATGTCTATTATGAGCAACTTATATTTACTTCAAGGATTTTATTTATATTAAAGATTATTCAGAAGTTATTAATAAGGTTATTATCATTCATAAAAGGTAATCAGCTTGGCTATAAAGTCAGTAGAGGCTATATTGTTGCACTAATAGAGACACATGGCGTATTTAATTCTGACTAACAGAGCAGGGCATGTATTCTGAGGTCAGCTGTTACTGTATGAAACTGAATTCAAATGTGTTTATGTTCTGTCGTTTCCTCAGGGCCTTCAGTGTGAAAAGCCCTTTGTCCATTCATTTGGTTTCCTCACTGTCAGAGCTCTACCGCTAGGTGGAGTCGCTGCACCACGATTAATAAACAACCCCCAACCAACTGATGCCAAGTGGCACAATTTGTGAACGAATCGGTTCTTTCGAATCGGTTCTTTTCATCAAAATTCCGTCTGAATCGAACTTTTTTCTAGCAGCTGCACAATGTTTATTCTGATGGAGAATGTGTTCTATACGGTTCTGTATAGAATCTTTTTGAAAATGGTTCTATGTATCATCAAAAAAAGTGTTCGTTTTCAAAAAAGGCTCTATATAGAACCATATACAACACACTCTCCACCAATCTGAAGACCCATTTCACCATGCAAAGTAGCATTTAAGCATGAAATGGATCGACATAGAACTCGAGGTTCTAAACAGAACCATTGCTTTTACTGAAGAACCCTTGAAGAACATTTTTTAAGAGTGCACATTCCACATATTGCTGAGTATAAAAGACAACAGACACTGAAATGAACACTACTGTATATGTAGTCGATGAGTAAAGATGACGTGGCTGACCTTTGTGGTCATCAGACTCACTTACTGAACCAAAACTCACTGTATATTAAATGAGAATAAAGTTGACTCGTCTTATGAATCAGTGAATTGTTCATTTAGACGTTCGAATCATTAAAACGAACCATTCGGAAGAATCGGTTCGGTAAACTGAGCGAGTTACTGAGGCTCCGCCCCTAAACCAATCAGGTGCTGACTTGTGGACGTCCAGCACTGGCGATGTTTAAAAGACCCAGAAATCATTACACCAAGTTTATTAATAATAATAGTAATAGTAATAATAATAATAATAATAATAATAATCTAACTTAATTCTGTTTTAAGCATATTTAGAGTCATTTTGTTTTGTTTTTTCTGCTTCTTATCCAATTCCAGATTAACCAAAACTATAGTACAAACTATAGGTTACCTAGTACACTTGGCTATTTACACCTCATAGGTTCTTTAAGGGTTCTTTAGTAAAGACAACGTTATTTATGTAGAACCATGAACACTCAAAGATCCGTTTCATGCTTAAATGGTTCTTTGTTTGGTAAAATGGTTCTTCAGACTGATGAAGAACGTGTTGCATACTTTTGAAAATGTTCTATAAAAGGTTCTATAAAGCACCATGAAGGGTTCTGTTATTGTCTATCGTCACGACGTCAAGCTTGTGACAACAGAATAACCATTTTGGTGCTATATAGAACCATACACAGCCCATTCTCCATCAATCTGAAGAACCATTTCACCGTGAAAAGAACCATGGTTCGATATAGAACTCAAGGTTCTAAACAGAGCCATTCCCTTTACTAAAGAACAACTGAAGAACGATCTTATGAGGGCAGGTTATCTGAGTTCATGTGTAAGAGTTCCTGGACTGGACTGTTTAGCCAGCTGTAACTCATGTAAGTTAACCTAGCTAGTTAGCTAACTCAATGGCTATAACCATAAACATCCCGCAACAATTCTACAATAAAAGTCCCTATTTTGCACATTTTGAACTGCAAGCATAATAAGACATTCGATAAAAAATGAAGCTAGAAACTGCCGTAGCTACTCATTTCCTTGTATGCAAGCGCTGACAGCTAACTTACTTACTATTTTCTCAGAGAAAGTGTGAACCACACCTCCCGGCTTCACGTTAAACTCCACTGTTTTAGCTGAGTCACTAGAGGCGCCGACAAACGCCAGCAGGGAGACTAAAACGAGCAGTTTCTGATAAACTGAAAAGGCTGAGCTGCCACTGGGATTCATGTTGAGACCGAAAGCCATAGGGATAATGTGAAACCAGCAAGCTAAGCTAACCTAGTCTCTCTTTTTTTGAATGAGAAGTAAGCAGGGGAGCGTTCCATTTCGATGGCACTGCTCCCTACTCCCTAATCCCTACTCCCTAAGCCATTCACACGTTGAAGAAGGTTAAAATTAGGCCTATTTTGCCTAGGAAGCAAAAATTGCTACGTCGCTTAAAAAAGATGGTTCTTCAAGGGTTCTTTAGTAAAGGGAATGGTTCTATCTAGAACCAATTTATGCTTAACTGGTTCTTTGCATGGTTAAAAGTTCTTAAGATTGATAGAGAATGTGTTGTATATGGTCCCATAGCCAGCTATAACTCAAGTAACTAAACGACCATAACCATAAACATGACATTACCGCAACAATTCTACAATAAAAGTCCTCTTTTGTAGCTATTTATGGACTAGGCCTACTCTTCAGGACGCTGCTGGATATGTCAACAGTTGGAATATATGGAAATGGTTCTATATAACCCCAAAAAGGGTTCTTCTATTGTATACAAGCTTAACATCGTAACAATAGAATAACACGTTCTGCATTAATCTGAGGAACCATTTCACCATTCAAAGAACTGTTTAAGCATGACATGGCTCTGTGGTTCTGTGGTAGAACCATTCCCTTTACCAAAGAACCCTTGGATAACCACCTTTTTTTAAGTGTACCACCACCATTTACCAGTTATAGTTCGACTTCAGAAGTACTAGCGAACAACTTCAGGCATTAAGCAAATATCACTTTTATGTGTGTTTAGTAAACTTGCTAGCTACTTAGATTTTCACAGCCATTTCTTCATTAAAAGTAAAACACTGCAAAACATCTTAGCACTAAAGCCTGAGCTCCTTCTCCCTACATAGTGGACATATGTCATGAAATAATGGCTTCTACACCCAAACAATGCACCATGTCCAAAAGGGGGCTATTTGCAATGCAGGAAAAGAGTCCGTCTATTGGTCCCTTGAGTCCTGTCAGATAAAGGGCCCCTGAAGTGGCACTACAAAACATCTGCTGTGGGTGTTCTCTCTTCTAAGTGCCCTAGGTAGGCTGCAGTTGTACCATTTGGAGCACACCCTTGAATTCTTTCTTTAACATGGGTTGAATACTCAGCATTCCAGTTGAGGCCTCTGCCATCTACTGGGCTGGGGTGGATACTACAGGATATTTCAGGTGAAGCACACAGCCTACCTACGCTACCCTTCAAGATTTCAAACACTAAATAGGGCCTATATTTATCCCTTAAACATAGACAAGTATCGCTTAAAAAGGAATTCCAAAATGTTGTGAAATGTTGTCGGGCTGCGGGGTTCCTGTTTTTATTAGGGGTTAAAGTTTTTATTCAGGTTAGATTATTTTTCAAAAGTCTGTCACAACACCAAAGCCAGTACAGAACCATAGAGGTTTTCCTATGGCAAATATTAGTCAGCAGGGTTGTTCCATCATTAAAGGAACTATTGGAACATGTATTTGGTGAAATTGGTTATGAGTAGGTATGAAAACACAATAAATCAGATAAACAGGTGTCTGCACAGTCTAAACTCATTTGGAGCTGTATATGGACTATGCCTACTCTTTAGGATGTTGTTGGATGTTTAAAATAAATGGAATTTAAAAAAAAAAAGTGCAACAACAACAATAACAAAAACACTGTTCACTGCTTGAACTTGAACCCAGCCAAGCAGACTCATTTCACGCTACTGCTCGTTTCCGAACACCCACCACACCCAGTGGAACTTCCTTCACCAAAAATAACTTCAGAAAAACTGTTTTCTTTTAAAATTGAGCTTTTATCACCCAGGAGTTGCCTTTATGTGTAGAAAGATGTGCAAATCTATAAATCAAGCCCAGAAACGTTGTTCTGCACGGTTGAATTAACAGCTCAATCTATTGCTGAAGGTATAAGAAACCTTGTGGAATATTTAATAAGCAAAAGTCAATCAACATTTGTCTTTGATTCCACACTTTTGACACACTGTCCTGTTTTTAAATATTAGAAATAAAACAACTGCAAAACTTACTATGTATTTACTTGGCAACTCCTTTCATTTACACCTGGCACAATAACGAAACTCATTTGAAGGGGAATTCCATCCACTTTTCAAAATTACTACATAATTCAGTCACTGGGATATGAACAAAGTCATTCAGAGTGGTTCAATGTGAAATGAAGTTCTAGAGAAACTCACTGACTCTTTTTCTGTACAGTGGTGGTGATGGGAACCAGGGGTCACCATGACTACAACACAAATATAGACATTTTATTTACTATCCAAAACCACCAGTGAACCTACACGAGTCTTCTGAGTTTATATGGAATGTTGATGATGGGAAAATAGTATTTTTTTTTGTTTTTAAAATAAGTTTTTTAGTGACTATTTTGCCTCACAACACTTTGCACACACCTCTCCATCCTGTTTAAAAATATTTTCAGCCATAATCTTCTCAAAACTATCATAAAACAATGTTTCAGACATCAGGCAGTGAATTCATAACCATTTCATGTAATAAATTTCTGTGAGGGAGGTTTTAGAGGTGGACATCTAGTTCCTATCACTACCACTGTGAATAAGTTTGATTACATCATATGGATTAATTGATGAAGATTTTTCTTAAATTGGTGGAGTTCCCCTTTAACTCTGGCCAAAGGTGATTACATGTCTTACGAGTAGCTGCCTTATATGAGACTGGAATTTCTTCATTTATTTATGTTGTTGCACTTCTACACGCTCAGTGCCAAAAAGATGCCATAGAACAACCACTTCTGGTTCCATAGACATCCATTCAGTGGGTTCTTGAAAGAACCTTTTTTTGTAAATGAAAGCTTTGACTTTGTTTTTTCAAAACTGGAGTGCAAAACATGATTAAAAGCTACAGAGAAAATGTGGCTCCTAACAACCACCTGGAAGACCTGGGAGACCCCAAAACTGCCCCCATCAGATAAACAGAACTTAAAGCTTTCATCTCTGAGAGAGAGGAGAAAATCAAGCTGCTTCAGATCTGAAAACATCCACAGGTGTTTCTGAAAACATCCACAGGTGTTTTGAAAACATCCACAGGTGTTCCATCCTTCCACTGTGAGAAGACGACTCAGCGCTGTGGGTCTGAAAGGATGTGTAGCTGATCAAGAAGAACCTCACTGAGAAAAGGAGACGGACACATCAAACAAAGAAGCTGAGCAATGGACTGACCACCCCAGAGTCCAGACTTCAACACCACTGAATGTGTTTGATTACTTCAGAAAATGATCAACCAGCTTCTAAGACTGAACTTTGGAGGAGTGTCTGCAGATTCTTTGAGGAACTGAAAGTGAGTCTCCTGAAAAGAATGGAAGCTGGAATGAAGGTAAAAAGTGGACACATAAAACACTGAATTTGAAAATTTGTTGAGCTGTTGAGGTTTAACTCTTGGTTTAATCCATGTCCTGGAAACTGGCCCTACGTTTGAGTTCATGAAGGCCAAAGCCTCCTATAAGACACGTTCACTGTGTATGACCTGCAGGATGAACTCAGCACTATGTTGGCTGTGGAATTTCGCTCCTTTCTGCCAATTTTAATGGAGCAGGCGAGGGAGACCTGTAGGAGGCCTCTGCGGAGTCTCACTCCATTTAAGCAAACTCAACCAGCACTGACCTCTGTCTGGAACAGCGGAGGCAGCAGGCACCCGACTGTCTACCAGTCAATCAACAGCGAATCACATTAAAACAGAATGTCAGCAGACTGTTAGACGGTTTTCTGTTTTCTGATTTCTTGGCCACTGTCTTGTTCACTCAGTGGCGTTTCTCCTCACTCCCTCGGTCTACAGATTCAGCAAACCGTGCAATAAAAACGATTTAGCACCATTTCTTATTTCCTAAACCATTAAAACACCATTAACTTGTCTATAAATGTGTTCGGCTCCTTCAAATGATGGCCTTGAATGTTGTGTTTACATACAAACACCCAGACGTCTTCGCTTTCAGCTCAACATCTGCGCATAAACTGGTAAAACCGGCATCGTTTTCATGATGGATTGTGTCCATCAAGGAAATGGCTCCCAGCCTCAAGGACTAGGGTAATATTTTGATGTTTAGTGCTGCACCCAACTGTTTGAATCTGATTAATATCACTCAGCACTCTGACGCACACCGGCTTTTTTTCCATCCTCAGAGGATTTTTAGCTGTTTTTTTATGTAACTGTTTGAATCAAGAGGGCAGAAAAGCATCATTTGCTTGCACAAAATGCTCTTTCATTGATGTTTGAATTCCTTTTGATGAACATTCTTTGGTTTTTTAAACAGAATTCACAGCGAAGAATTGAAAACAGCTTTATTGATTTAACAGTTGAAAGAGAACGAAACTGGACTGCGTGCACAGACACAGATGATCTGCATAGTTTGTACTTCAACATAAAATTTAAACCGAATTAATTCATTTCTGTATCATAATTCCAAAAATCTGGCTTAATTCGGACAAGTGTGCATGTCTTCTCACACACAACTTATTCAGCATAGACCAGAGTTCGGCAACATGCGGCTCCGGTGCTGTATGCAGCTCTTTTACTGCCCTGTTGTGGCTCCACAGCAGAATTAGATTAGTAGGTAAAAATAAAATAATCCTCCTTTTCAGTAAAATAAAACTCTGCTGATCGTTCAGCACAGTTTAACAATAAATGGTCTTAAACTCTGGAGTTAATGTACAACTGCTAATTCACCCTTTAACCCTGAAGATCAGCACAGACTGCTGGTCACCATAGCAACAGTCTCACCCAGCTAGTAGCTAACAAAACAGCAAAGAGAGAGATTTAAGACGAACTTCGGTATTTTAGAGACAAATGGACTTATTTGCGTTTATAATCACTCCAGCTGGTTTCCTGATACGTTTAATCTGCAAGGGGAAACTGACGAACACTAAAAAGCCGCAAAGTTAAAGTCAGTTTCTCATTCGCCAGCTTCTTGTTCGAATTTTTCCATTCCACCTTAAATGGTGCAGCAGTTATATTCTGGTTCCTCAGGCACCATTTAAGGTGGAATGGGAAAATTTAATCAAGAAGCTGGCGAATGAGAAGCGACTTCAGCCTTGTAAAAAGTCAAACATTGAGACACATTTTACAAGAAACTGCTGTACTTTTGGAAAAGTTTCCTGCTGGAGATGTGAGAAAAGCTAAATGTGAGCTAAAGATTAAAGCAGAGCAAAGTAAGTCTACGTTTTTGTTTATATCATATTTTTTGGTCTATAATAGTACATTAGAACATACTGAGACATATTTACAGCCAAGATGGTAAAATGAACATAAAATGTTGAGGCTCCCAAAGTGGTTTGATTTTTGTTGAAAGGAGAAAATGGCTCTTCTTAACATTGGGGTTGCGACCCCTGGCATAGACAATGTGAGCTGTAGTAACAATTCTGTTTGTTGCAAACACACAAATTAAATTTAAAAAATAATTAATTTACACCATTTATCTCAGCCTTTTTTTATGTCATTATATTTCATATTTCAAGTCATTTTTGCTTGAGAAGTACACAACAATGTACATAAAACATACAAACTAATACTGGAATAGATTACAATATAGTGTGCTGGGTACAGTGGACAAATTAAATCAACATATTCATTTACACCATTTATCACATGTTTGTCATGGTATAATTTGGTATAATTAGGTCAACATATTAATTTACACCATTTATCAAATGTTTGGTATGTTTCATGTCATTATATTTCATATTTCAGGACATTTCTACTTTAAAAACACAACATACAATGTACATAACATAGATAAATAAACACTAACATTGGAATAGATTGCAATACCGTGTGCCCAAATCTGTGTATATGCATGGACTGACATTCTACGAGATATCTGAATGACATAATTCTGATTGATATTGATTCTGAATATATCAAGTGAGCTAAAGCTGCTGCATTGTTTTCTACATATTGCAGAGACAGTTGGATCAATATCTGTGAAACAAAAGTGGATTTTAGATCCCAGTTGTTAACGTTTTGATTAAGCATCTATGAACATTCATCTGAATGAACTTACGCTGTGATTCTGCAGTTGTGCGTTTGCACATATGACCCAGTGTATCTAACATCACACTGGACCACGTTGTTGGAGAAATCAGACTCCTGGACTTGGAAATTAGGGTTCACTGTCACCTGGGAAGAGAGCGAGATGACATCAGGGGGTGAGGGCACAGTTTTGGTTGTAGAAGGTTATGGAACATGTGCATAACAGTGAAAACGGTTGTGGTGTAATCCCAGTGTGAACAGCAGCTGGGCTTCCCTGAAGTATATGTTCCATCATGCATTCTGTCACTCAGACCCACCTTCAGGACGTAGTCTCCAGGAGGAACGTCTGTGATGTCGATCCACTGACAGTCAATGTTGGCGTGGTAGGTGTCGTAGCAGCCTGGACCCAAACCCTGCTCCAGGAAAAAGGGCGGGAAAACATATTTAATCAAGTCACCATCATTTCACTGTTGATATGATGCACTGTTTTTAGGACGTTCGTGGTTAGATTAGTACAGAGCTCTGCTGGTGACGTCTGTATAAATAAAAATAAAGCATGGCCATGAGTTAGTAAGGCATGGGAATGAGATAATTAAGTCATGGCGACGACTTCATAAGGTGTGGGAACAAGATCCCAATGAATGGCAATGACTTAGTAAGGCTTGGGAATTAGATCCTAAGGAATGGCCATGACTAAGTAAGGCATGGGAATGAGATAGGTAAGTCATGGCCACAACTTAGTAAGGCGTGGGAACAAGATCCCAATGAATGGCAATGACTTAGTAAGGCTTGGGAATTAGATCCTAAGGAATGGCCATGACTAAGTAAGGCATGGGAATGAGATAATTAAGTCATAGCCATGACTTAGTAAGGCAAGTGAATGAGGTAATTAAGTCATGGCCACGACTTAGTAAGGCATGGGGATGAGATAGGTAAGTCATGGCCACAACTTAGTAAGGCATGGGAACAAGATCCCAATGAATGGCCATGACTTAGTAAGGCTTGGGAATTAAATCCTAAGGAATGGCCATGACTTAGTAAGGCGTGGGAATGAGATCCTAATAAATGGCCATGACTTAGTAAGGCATGGTAATGACATAATTAAGTCATGGCCACGACTTAGTAAGGTGTTGGAACAAGATCCTAATGAATGGCCATGACTTATGACTTATGATTTAGAAAATTAAGCCTTGACCACAGCTTAATAAGGCATGATCTCGTTCCCATGCATTACTAAGTCGTGGCCACACGTTATGATCTTGTTCCCATATGTTAATACGGCATGGCCGCATTTTTTTTATTTATACGGGATGTCACCAGCAGGGCTCTGTAGACTGGTGCAGGGCTGCTTCTGAACATTTGGGGGCACTAAGCAGCTTTATACTGTGGGCCCCCCAACTGCATATCATTTTTTCTGCAAGAATGAAAATTAATTAACATTTTTCTCATTTTTATTAGGAAAACAAAAGTAATACATTTTAAAAGGAGTGCAATAAAACAATATTTAACTAGATACATCTGAAAAACGAAACCAGTAAACTGAACTGTGCAAACAAAATAACATAAAATACATTAGCAGAGAAAAAATAGTCTTGATGTCTTAATGGTCACTTTTCTGCCAATATCATGAAAAATGATGATGTCAAATTATATGTGTTGTAATTTTTCTAAGTGAAAGTATGTTGACACATCCTCTACCGAGAACACACTTAAATGTGACCTTTTTCTGCAAAGTTAGGTGCACAATTTCTATTTTTTTGCTGAGTTTAACCCCTTAAAATCCCAGGCTTATTACTTATTATAAGGCTAATTATTCAATGACCACAGGGACTTCAAGGCAAGAAAAGTTTATTTAAATAGCACCATAAATACACTGCTGTTATTCAAAGTGATTTACAGATGGGAAAATGCAGAAGCATTTAAAAAGTAAAATATGAGAAAATAGAAATTAAAAACATGATTAAAATAATAGATTTAAAAGAGGAAATCATTAAATTAAAAATCATATTTGAATTTAAATTGGACAAATTAGAAATCTAATAAAAAATGTAAAAATGTAATTAGTATATAAAGTGCCATTGTGGAACAAAAGGTCTAGAAAACCTAACAGTGTTTTAAACTGCGCTGAAAGCTGCTCAAATAGGAACGTTGTCAGGGCTCTTCTGATGCTCTCTGTCAACTGGGTCCATTTAAGGGCCGCATAGCAGGTAAACGCTGCTTCTCCATGTTTAGTCTTCACCTTCAGCAGGACAATAAAGTGCTGACAGACACTTCATTTGTGTGAAATCACAGTTGAACAAATCTATTTTCAGTCTATTTTTAAATATAAAATATAAAATGCGCAATAACTTTTGCACAAGCCACACTTTCTCTTTAATTCAGCAAATAAACATTAATTGTGTATTAAAATGCACAGAACTGTTCTCTGTGGAGATTAACTTCTCTTCACTTAGAAAAATAACAGTACATCTCATTTGAGCAGGGGTGCCTAAATTTTGGCATTCGACTGTAAATACAGGCACACACAGAGGTCAGTCTAGAACAGCAGGCCCTGTGTTACGTGAGAACGGCTTTACCTGTGTGTGAGCTGTGCAGGCGTATCTCCTGCGAACACCTGGATCACAGCTGGTGTCCTCCAGACAGAAACTGGCTTTGTGTCCCTCTGCCACCCTCCGGCCTGTAGAAGCATCTAGAAGGTCATAGCTGCTGAAGGCCTCCATGCTGTGGTAGTGTCTGAGGGATGGAAACAAAGAACTCATAGAGAGGAGAATTACCACTCTGTAACATCTGGGTTTCTCAGACACTAGAGGGCGCTCCCGAGCGAGTCCAAAATGAAGGGGATTAAGATGAGACTGAGATTTGAGTAAAATCATAGTTTATAAATGCTTAAACATTTTTAAGATAAAAGAATATGTTCATTTCCTAAACAGCATAAAACATTTGAACACCGCTGTTATATTTTTAAGAGCTTTTAAACTCGAGTTATAGTAGTTTAAAATGGCGCCTCATCTATGTTCATGACGTCAGTGAGGGCAAGCAGCCAATGAGCTGCTCAGCTCGCCAACCAATCAGCACTCAGTAGCAGTAATGCTGCCGTTGTACAGCACAAAACCTGTTTGCTGTAGAAAAAAGGAAACATACAGGTGAGTTTTCTTTGTTTTTTTAGTGAAATCCATCCTTCTACTTTCTAAAATTAAAGGAAAGTTCTGGGCGACTGATTAGACACTATTTTAACTTTTCCTTTTTAGCCGTTTAGCTCCATTCACCCCCATTCATTGAGGACTCGCTCGTGGGCGCCCTCTGCTGTTTTGCAATCAACATTTTGATATAATGGGGGAAACAGGAAGTGGCCAGGCTCCTCATAAGCCGGCTCTGATGGAAACACAGTCAAACTGCTCTCTTCTGATTTCACTCCACATTAACGGTGTTCTTGTTGTGCTCATTGTGTTCATTGTATAAACCGAAGCACCTATGAAGCTGATTCATAGCTGTAACAGTGAATGGTCAAGGTTCTTTACAGACGTACTGATGGCAGCTGTGCCATTCCCACTGATGCTGCGGCCTCACGGGAAGGAAGTCCGCAGTGCCTTGATTTTTGACCCTCTGGGGGAACCGCAGAAGCACCCGGTAGTCAAGATCTCGGACGCTTGGCCTGTAAGCGGAGCTGGATAAAGAAAGAGAAAAATGATGAAATGAGATTCTTCATATAAACAGATTAACCAGTAAGCACCAGATGAATGAATGTATGAGTGGTGATGGTGTGTAAAACATTTTTGCTCTATCACAGCTTCTGTCAGGTATTCAGTGCTCTTAATGACTCGGTTCGGTGTGTTGGGAGCTGGGGGGAGTGTTTGGGACAGAAACCTCCCAGTAGAAAGATAAATGTATAAATGATTATTTTTTTTTTACAAAACATGTTTAACACATTTGTGTACAGTAATATTCAATAGTATGTGGAATGACTTTTCATCTGAATATTTTTGTTTATTGTATATACAATAACAACTTAAAGAGGTTTATATACTCTAAACTAGATATTTTAGATGTTTTAGTGAATATTTCCAGTATTTTGGCAACGACAATAGATACAGATAAATATCGTTCTTTAGATGCGATTGCCAATTTTGAAAGAGACGAGGCATTATGGATATTAATTTTAATTATAATCTCATTCACTCATTTTAGAATAATGTACAGCTATGGTCATCATTCTTGACACATATAAAGTGTATTTATTATTTTTTAATTTATTGATTCACAGCTTCCTTTTAACTATTTGTAATTGCAGTGGTGTGCAAAAGTTTGAACACCCCAGTCTAATTCCATTTTTTTAAATAACTCAACGTATATATATATATATATATACACTTACACAGAATATAAAGGGCAAAATGCAAAAACTGAAAACCGACAAAAATACATATATATGTATACACACAACAGTGCAGCCTGCTGGACATACCGGGACAGGCAGTTTTCCTCAGCTGCACATCGCAGCGCGTACATCTGCACACGCTGGATGTAAGATGCAGCTTGAATGTAGTATGGATCAGGGACGAGGTCAGGCAGACCTGGACAGTATGAGAGCCTGATGTTAACTTTATTGGATCAAAATCATTTGCACTGAAGAAACTAGTGCTTTGAATTTTATTGATTCACTATATCGTTGCTGTCGGAACAAAATCTCGTATCTCCAAGATGGTAACTTTACAGGAGAAGGAAAAAACACACTTTACTTTCAATGTAAGTCAATGGAACCAGATTTTTTTCCAAGTCATTTTGGGTCATTTCTGTTGGTCCATTCATCATGAAATTTACACACAATATAAAGAGCAACAGGTATTTTCAAATTATGTCAAAAACTGAAAAATGACAAAAAGGAGGTTTTGTTCCAACAGCAGCGATATTTATATTGCGGAAGGGTGAAACATGCAAATGAGCCCTTTATCAGTTTTCATTGTGCTGTGCAAATCCTGACTGATCTCAGATGTTCCAGATGAGCTTCTGTGAGCGCTGTGATGAATCAAGGCATCCATGTGATTCAAGAAATGTAAAAGATTTTGGTAAAAAATTATGCAGGATCATCTCTAACGATGCCACATCATATATCAGTGTGCAGTGCGTGTACTGAATGATAATGTAAGAGAAATGGTCTTACCATGATGGAAGTACCTGGTGCCATAGCCTGATCCCCTGCTTTGCTGCCTGCTCGTGCCTGTTGATGGATTTAGATTGTAGAAAACTGAATTTCTTCTATTTCCACTGGAGGTCGGTTCATCTTCCATCACACTGTCACCTGTTCGCCTTTGGGCAACATGACGTGGTGCATTTGCTCTGTCTGCACTGTTGTGGTCATACGGTGTGACCGAAGAGGGGCTGGTGGCCGGCTGTGGATCGGCTATTTGACCATCAGGGCCTCTAAAATGACTTTGTCCAGCAGCTGTGGAGACAGTGGCTGAGTTGGTCCGTCTTTGGTCTGGTGCAGTTGTGCTGTTTGGAGACTTTGAAGGACTTGAGGTCAGCGGAGCGACCTCCAGAACGCTCCCCACCGTCTCCGTGATCGAAGATGAAAGATGCCGATTGCTCCTGGACTCTGATATGCCAGGTATCAGGTCATTTCTTGAGTCTGTGTGAAGAGCAGTATCTCCGGCAGGTCGTGCGCGTCCTCCGTGACCCCTGGTGGCCCCTCTTTGGGTCCTCGGGGAAGTGTGTCTGGAGAAAAACAGCGGCATGCTCCTCCTCGCAGCTGAAGGCACATAGTATTCGGACCATGCGCTGGTCAAGCTGAAGAGGTGGCCGTTGTTTTCCCAGTGAACCTCACCTCTCCGTGGCGATGAGGTGCGCCCCCTTGTACGGCGCTGTCCCGTGCTGAAGCTGACCAGAAGACACACCAGAGACAACATAAACACACATCTGGACACGAAGGTTAAGGCTTGCATTGTGAAAGTGCTGCTGCTCCTCCGCTCACATCCACTCAGTCTCTGAGTTTTAGAAGGAGGTGCAGAATAAATGTGTGTTTACACGCCTCTCTCTTGCTCTCTCTCTCACTCACTCTCCCTCTCGCTCTCTCACTCACTCTCTCACTCTCACTAACTCTCTATCTCTCTCACTCATTTTTTCTCTCTCACTCGCACTAACTCTATCTCTCTCACTCATTCTCTCTCTCTCATTCTCTCACTCTCAATAACTCTCTCTGTCACTCACTCTCACTAACTCTCACTCTCTCACCCACTCTCAAATACTCTCTTTCGCTCACTCACTCTCGCTGTCATACTCTCTCGTGCTCTCTCACTCAATCTCTCTCTTCTTCTCTTTCACTCACTCTCTCTCTCTCCTTCTCATTCTCTCTCTCTCACTTAATCTCTCTCGCTCTCTCTCTATCTCACTCCCTCTCTCACTCTCACTAACTCTCTCTCTCTCTCTCACTCTCGCTGTCATACTCTCTCGCTCTCTCACTCAATCTCTCTTCTCTCTCTCACTCAATATCTCTCTGTCTCAATCAATCTCTCTCTCACTCTCTCGCTTGCTCTATCTCTCTCCTTCTCACTCTCTCTCTCTCACCTAATCTCTCTCTCGCGCTCTCTTGCTCAATCTCTCTCTTCTTCTCTTTCACTCACTCATTCTCTCACTCGCTCACTCTCTCTCTCACTCTCTCGCTTGCTCTCTCTCTCTCAGTCACTCTGTTCCACTTACTCACCATCTCTCACTCTCACTCACTCTCTCTCTCGCTTTCTCTCTCTTGCTCTCTCTTCCTCTCTTGCTTTCTCACTCTATCACTCACTTTCCTACTCTCACTCTCTCTTACTCTCTCTCTTTCACTCACTCTCCTACTCTTATTCTCTCTCTCTCTCTCTCACTCACTTTCACTCACTCTTGCGCTCTCACTCACTCACTATCTCTCTCTCTCTCTCTCTCTCTCTCTCTCTCACTCTCTCACTCTCACTCACTCTCTCTCTCTCGCTCTGTGCTTTACTGAGTTTGGTAAAGTATGCAAACAAAGCACAGTGTTTCTTTAGCAATGCAACATTTGGAAGTGTGCATTTTGATTCATGATCTGTAAGCATAAAAACCTAACTGATGGTCCAGACAGACGGCCAGATAGATAGACAAGCAGATAAACAGACAGACTAATTGATAGACAGACAGGTAGACCTTTAACAGAGTTCATTTGTTGACCGTCTTAACTTCATACTTCACTTTTGCTGTCGGAACAAAATTTTATATATCAATTTTTATCGTTTTTTATTTATTTTTTGCTTTTACATAATTTGAAAATGCCAGCTGTCGTTTATGCTGTCACAATTTAATGACAGACAAACCAACAGGCAAAATTTGTTTTGAATAAAACATTTTCCCATTAACTTACATTGAAAGTTAAGAATGTGTTTTTCGTCTACTGTAAACTTACTTCTTTGTTCCAACAGATACAACAAATACATTGAATCAAAAGTCAGATAAATAGACAGTCAGGATTTATCATTGAAATTTAATGTATTGAATTAAATTGCCACTGCGACCCAGAAGGATAGGCGGTTTAGATGATGTATGTATGTATGTATGTATGTATGTATGTATGAATTAAATTGCAGCATATAAACAGCATAGAAAATATTGATTAGCATGTTAGCTTTTGTTTCAGATATTGAACTTGTTGTAAGGTTGAATGCTCTAATAGTGTCTGTCAACCGTGGTCCTGGAGGCCCACCGCCCTGCACTTGTAATTGTTTTCCTTCCCCCTTAACACACTTGATCCATCTAATCAGCTCAGTAACAGCCCATTATTGAGTTAAAGTAAGAGTGTTAAAGCAGGAAAAGCACTAACATGTGCAGAGCAGTGGGCCTCCAGGACCAGCGCTGAGAAACACGGCTCTAATAAACTGAAAATAGAAAAATAAAATATTAACTTCAGGGATATTTTCAGCCACTCCTTGCCTTTGCTGTATTGAATCACTGTATTGTACCAAATTAATTATGAATTCTGTGAATCATCACAACCTCATTACATAGACAGATAGAAACAAGACAAGCAACAAGTATAGAAACACTAATTAAATAGACAAATTATAAAGACTACAATGCGTTCAGTTAAATAAGCAAAGAAAGAGCAGATTATATGGGGCTTTTATTGTTTTATCAAATTTATTTATCAATTTTATCTTTACATCCTCCTGCTTGCTCCAACACATCCCACTACAGCTGCTTCGTCAGAGAGTTTCCACAGATGATTCAGTGTTGTACCTGAAGGTTTAGTGGTATAAACAGAAATGGACCAAATACTGACCCCTGTGGACCCTCATGCTCATAACCACGTTCAACCAACAGCCAAACTAGAATCAGCAAACTGAGGAGGGGAGAGGAGCTTAAACCCACCCCTAAAATGCCATTCTAAAATGAAAAGATAACAAATGAAATCAAACACCAAAAATGGGATCAGGAAGAACAAGAATGACTAAAGTAGAATTGAGGAAAAAGCAGGTTACTGTACTTACAAATATTCTTGAGTAGAAGTAAAAGTGGTATTAATTGAGAAGTACTCAGAAAAGCATAAACACATTAAATGTTTTACTGAAGTAAATGGAACAATAAATACAGGGACAAATCGCATCTGTCTCTGAGTGTATATTGAATAATTAAATTCAAAACACACCTGTATGTATTTTGTTGTATATTTTTGTATAAATATGTGCACACAGGAAAGAAAGAAAGCCATTGTGCATGATGTGGCCTGACCACAAGGGTGCGCTGCGGATGAAACTGGGACAGTTGGCTTTTTGGCACTTACAGTAAAATTCCTCAGTATGTTCTGTACTGTAAACTTGGCAGTCAGCAAAGAGACATGATAAAACTTAAAATAGTAACTGAGAGCGATAATGAAATACTGAGCTTGTTGATAATACAGAATGTAACTGAGCAGAAGGGAAACTCCTTCATAATTAGGGTCAGTAGGGTCAGTCTGTTCAGAAGGAACATAAAGTTTTATTAACAGAAACTGAAAACTAATTGAGAAACGGACATTCTTTGTAAATACATGCAATTTTTCTAAATCTCTGCTATACATATATATGTATATATGTGTATATATATATATATATATATATATATATATATATATATATATATATATACATATATGTGTTTGTGTGTGTGCCTATGTATCTCAGAACAACACCTTGTATCTCCAAAATGGTAACTTTACAGGAGAAGGAAAAAACCTACTCTAAAAAACCTACTTTACTTTTAATGTAAGTCAATGGAGCCAGACTTTTTTCCAAGTCAGTTTGGGCCGTTTCTTTTAGTCCATTCATGATGAAATTTACACATGACGTAAAGAGAAACAGGTATTTCCAAATTATGTAAAAAACTGAAAAACAGTATCAGATTTCTTTACAGTGGTGGTGATAGGAACCAGGGGTCGCCATGACTACAACACAAATATAGACATTTTATTTACTATGCAAAACCACCAGTGAACCTACACGAGTCTTCTGAGTTTATATGGAATGTTGGTAATGATGGCAAAATAGTGATAAATCTGCAAACTATTTTGCCTCACAATGCCCTGCATGTGTTCACCCACTGTGGACGGTTTTAAAAATGTATTGTAGGCCACAACCCTTAAAACTAATAATGATTAACTTTCTGTGAGGGAGCTTTTAGAGGTGGATGTCCGGTTCCCATCAAACCACTGTGAACAATTGTGAGTCGGTAAGTGTCTCTGGACATCTGAACCAAAGATATATATCAAATTTATTTTAAAATAAATAAATATGTTTTGAAATAAATATTTTTTTAAATATATTTGGTTAATATCGCAATATATTTTGAAACACATTTAGCCTTTGGAATGTATTTTGGCATGGACTGCAATGTATTTGAAATGTATCACACACACACACATTTTCTAAGCCACTTATCCTTCTGGGTCGCAGGGCTGCTGGAGCCTATCCCAGTGTTCTTTGGGCAGAAAGCAGGATACACCCTGGACAGGTCACCCGTCCATCACAGGGCAGACAGACAGACATATACGTTCACACACACATTCACACCTAGGGGCAATTTAGCGTGTCCAATTGGCCTGACTGCATGTCTTTGGACTGTGGGAGGAAACCCATGCAGACACGGGGAGAAGATGCAGACTAAAGGTATTTCAAATATGTTAAATATATGTCCATATATATTTATTTTCCATATGAGCTAAAAGATCTTACACACCGCACCTTTAAAAAGAATTCAGCTGAGAAGTGACAGAAAAGGGCCTCATCAAAGTAATGCTGAGAACTGCTGCTATTTTACTTTAATCCCTGAAGATTAAAATATTCCCAAACAAAGCAGTGGAAAAGACCAGTCACCCAGAAACACGCAGGATCACAGGGTTCCTCATTACAAAGACTATGTCCCCTCTCGCGGCACGGCAGGAATCTCTGCTAAATATACACGCATTGCCTGTACATCCAGAGTATTCCAGAGCTCTCAGTAATTTGTGTATGTGACTCGTCCATAGCCGACATTGCTCCTCCCTGTATGGAGAAAGGAGTAATTGACGAGTAGAAATAGATCATGAAGCTCGACAAACACCTTTTAAAATCGTCTCAGGTGTTCATGCCCATTCAATCCTAGAACAAGGTCAGGCCTCCTTGAGGAAAATGTCTAGACTGTGTTTGTTTTTCCTTCAGGTTGACGCTCAATATAGACTTTATTGCTCAGTGTAGCAACGGCAGCAGCAGCTGTGAATGATTCTGCTGTAGATTCACTGCTTTATGGTCAACAATCAAAAGGATAATGAAACAGTGGCTTGTTGATATTGCAGTGGCTGGCTTTATGAATCACTGGCTGTGCTCACTATGTCCTACTTGCCTTAAAGGGGAACTCCACCGATTTTTCAAAAAATATGTAAAATTAGAAGAGTTTTTCAAAATGTCTTCCTATTTGTCATTAACATGAAAACAGAGTCGTTCAGAGTGGTTTGGTGTGAAATGCTTATTTCTAGAGAAACTTACTGAGTCAGAATTGTTCACAGTGGTGGTGATAGGAACCAGACGTCCACCTCTAAAAGCTCCCTCACAGAAAGTTACTACATGAAATGGTTATGTATTCACTGCCTGATGCCTGAGGTATTGTTTTATGATAGTTTTGGGCTAAAGCTTCATCTTAAAATGTATTTGAATTCATTTATTTTAACCCATTCATTTTCCACTATTTTATCAAACTCTAAATGACTGTTTACATCATCAACATTCTATGTAAAAAATTTTGAAAACACATGCAGGTTCACTGGTGGTTTTGGATAGTAAATAAAATGTGTATTGTACACACGGCGACCCCTGGTTCCTATCACCACCACTATAAAAATCTTCGTAAGTTTGTAAGTTTTTCTACAAGCAACGTTTCACATTCAAACCACTTTGAATGGCTTTGTTTACAACTCAAAGACTGAACTGCACAGAAATTTTGAAAAAATGGTGGATTTCCCCTTTAAAGGTGCTCTCTGACTGAAATGAACAGTTTAACCATCTCTACATCTGTTGTTCGCATGCATGCCAGCATCCGACGGTGGTCTTGAGAATGAGATTTTCCAGGAGGAAAACTCCCTTCTGATGTGTCCTGGATGTAGGAAGAATTTCTGAAAAAAGACAGCTGCTTCAGGGCGGATATTTGAGGATGAGCTGTTTCAGTGTTGTTTTGCCATTGGCTGTCTGTTGAAGGAGGATACGAGATGCACATTACTGCTAGTACAGTTACTGTATTCATCTCCACACCAGTGAATGTATGTGGGGGGATTCTCAGTTACATACGACATATTTGTGTAATGCATGCTGGGTATTGTAGTGAGAAAACTATGATGGACAAAAACGCAGAAAAATCACAATTATGAATAACATGCCAGCTTGCTAGTAAAATGAATAAATATGAAGGGGAAGTCCACCAGTTTTTCAAAATGCCTTCATATTTACGTCAATAACGTAAACAAAAAGTCATTCAGAGTGGTTTGGTGTGAAATGCTCTGTTCAGAGCCAGAATTGTTCACAGTGGTGGTGATAGGAACCAGACGTCCACCTCTAAAAGTCTCTCACAGTAAGTTAATCATACGAATTTGCTTCCCAAAGCTCAACACTTTGTTTTATGATAGTTTTGAGAAAAACTCTTGGCCTGAAACCTTTTTTCTAGCTATTCATGGTGGAGGGATACATGCAGGGCATTGTGAGGCAAAATAGTCCCAAAAGATAATATAATTTCAGATTTTCCATCATCAACATTCCATATAAACTCAGAAGACTCATGTAGGTTCACTGGTGGTTTTGAATAGTAAATAAAACATCTATATCTGTGTTGTAGTCGTGGCGACCCCTGGTTCCTATCACCACCACTGTAAAGACATCTCAACCATTTCACACCAAATCACTCTGTTTACAACTCACCACTGAATTATGCAGAGAATTTGAAAAAAAAAATGATCGATGTACTTCACTTTGAGTTTATACTTTCTGTAAGGGAGCTTTCAACCTCTTCAGCCGTCTGGTTCCACTATAAACAATTCTGACTTTACCTAGAACAGAGAATTTGACGTCATCTTAATGTTTTAATTGCACAGACATATAGAAAAATCTGCAGAATTCCTCTTTAGCATTGTTATGGTTTGAAACTATCTCAGGCGCAGTGGATGCCTGTGGTTGTTTTAGTTTCATGTGCCAAGTATGCAGTCACACTCACCATGTCGCCCCGTCACCCAGCACACTGACACTCTGACAGTGTCACCTGGTTGTGTAACTTTATTACAAGGCATCTGACTCTCTGCAGTGCCAGACGACTTTGCTTCCACATCCAGTTTCCACACTGTTTTGGATCGTGGAGAACCATCTCACCCCACTCACTGTTTTCTTTAAAATGCATTGTACTTCAGAGTCCCCAAAAGGAAATATACACCTCTTTTCACCGCAATTAACAAACCTGGTACAGAATGTGCAATTTTTTGTGTATGAACTCACTATTAGTGAAAACCAACAAATCTTCAAACTGTCTTCATACTGTATAATGTGACTCTCCGATACGTCCCAGATGCACTTTCTTTGGACTCTTCATTCCAGCATGGCACTAAGGTTAGCATTTTGTAGCACATTAAACATTTGGGAGGCATCAAGGCCCTCATCCATCTACCTGCGGGTATTTATCAAAGCAACTTAGACTGATAACTTAAGCCCAAAATCACCCCTGTTGGACAATCCATGTTTTTGGGCTTACATTATCTGGCTAACTTGGAAATTCTGCTTGATTAAACACCCCCAGTTGTTAAGCTTCAGCTCAACTGGCTGCCAGTCTCTATTATATTTGAGACAATACATGGACTTAAAACTAATGAACCACCTGGAATATTAATATTGTACCCCTGAATGCTCTTAGTATAGCAGTCGCAGAAGTTTAAATTTAATTATTTTTCTTTATTCCTTTTGTTTAAATAAATTTAAGCTAAAGGAATAGAAAATAAAAGCTGATATGCCTCAACCACAATATTGCCATTTTTTTGGCCATAATCAGAACATGTTTAAAATGTGAGATTCTGGCACTTATCAAGTTAATTCGTCTTTTGTTCAAATCAAACCTTTTCACAAACCAATAAATCTAAAATGTCTGAACAAAACTATGAACATTGTATGTATTAAAGTCAACTGGGTACTGTTAGATATCAATCTAAAGGATAACTACAAGATTTCACACTGGAGCCACTGACATAACTGTACACTAACCAGAAATTGAGCTGCATGTAAATATGGTTGTTGGACACAAGAGTTCACTAATGAACGTAAACACCTGTGAAGATATCACTACTCAGCCAGAGCCAGTGATATGAACACATTCATAATCACAATGTTTCTTTTTAGAGTAACACAATAAAATAACAATGAGTAAATATGGCCGTTTCTCGTTGGAAGGGAAATAATTACACCAAAAATTTGACCAGTTGTGCAGTTAGTTTTTGTATATGTAGCTTTTCAGAAGCAAAGTGAAGACACGAACGACAGAACTCAACTGACACCACAGTAACAAACTGGAATTTATTGGCAAACATTTTCACAGAACGGTAATGAGGCTACTGCCTGCATGGAGTCAGAGTAACTAGGCACTGCCTTGAATAACATCTTCAAATGGAAGTAATAAAATAACAACCAAAAGAATATCATAAAAACTAAAAATGAAAATGTTCCACCAAAAGACATGATAAGTTAACATTCCAACGTCCTATTTACAAGTACAATTACATTTGGTGTAAAATGTTTTTAAAAAAAAATCTTCTTGATGGGAGGTATTTACAGTTCTGTACATGGAGCTGCTGCTCAGGATGCTCCTGCTGGGAAAGAAAAGAAATGTTAATTCTCACATTCAGGTCATTTTAAAGGCTGTCTTCACAATGGTAACAATGGCAATCACACTCAAGCAAATGGTCCTTTAAACATGAACAGAAGAGGGGCAATAATGCAGCACCCCCACAGACTTCTATAGAAATTCAAATGCCCCTTAATCCACACCTTGGCCAAAAAACTGAGACCCAGTGGCTCTTTGTCATGTATAATTCACAAGTTGATTATTCATGAGTGACAATTATCTGTGAATGTTTGTCAGAAGCAGCAGAAGTAAAAATCTACTTCTTTTAACAAAAAAAAATAAAAAAATAAAATGACACCACATTAAGCAAGAGTTTAGTTTAGAGCCACTCAAATCAAGGCTGTTACATCAAACCATCACTTTAGAAGTCAAAACCACTTGTAACATCAGTAAACAAAGGAAATGGGAGAAGTGTGAGTTTATAGTAGGTGGCTCTGTGTTTACAGTTATCAGAATAATGTCTGGATGTAAGATTGTCACGTATTTCTCTTCTACAATTAAAAAGTGAGATCATTATTTACTACTAGAAGGGGAAAAAAAAACAACACCACACACACACACACACACACACACACACACACACACACACACACACACACACACACACACACACACACACACACACACACCTTACAATTTAGCACAGTGAGATTTAGCTAGAACCATCCAGCAGAGGTCCTTGGAGATTTAGGCCTTGCTAAATATAGGAAGTGCTATACTGCCATAAAAGCGGAAACACTTCTGTTTCAGCCAATGTGATACATTTAGTGCTGAGTGGGAGGTCATGTGCTATCAACTGGGTCAACAGCTTCTATTAAAAATAGTCACTATCTTAGATCGCTGCATAATCATTTCACATACAATACAAATACTCATGATCTAAGGTACATTTACTTTGCCTTTTCTATGCAAAGCCAGTTTTAAGAGCCTGAATATGATTCGATTGGGGTTTGTACTGGATTTCCTTCCCTTTACTGCTGTTAACAGCATATACAGCACTGCTCAAAAGACTGGAGTCACCGTTCATAAGTTTGAAGTCAATGTCTTCAATAATACATTAATTTCAATATATGATGGCAGATAAAAGTCTAATGTACATGTACTGTTAAACTTAAAGCTTATATACAGTCATATGCAAAAGACATGACATCTGAACATGTCTGGTCAAATTAAAAATAACAGACACTAATAACACTATAACGCTTATTTTCACTTAAATCAACACGGCAGAATTTGATCAAGGGCACCCAAACTTTTGTAAATGATTGTATTTAAAATAATTTGTAGGAACCTGTAATAAATAAATTAAATAAATAAATGAAAATAATTAAAAAGTTAGGAAATTAGACATGTCTAAAATGAACAAAGCTGTAGCTGCTCCTAAAATGACTACATGAAGTAATGTAATTAATACCATAATGCCTTTTATAATGTATTTCAAGGCAGATAGAAAGAAAGAGCTATTAAAATCTAAGTAATGATTAAAGATGATTTAATGGTTGCCAAACTACTTGAAATATTAAATAAGACATCCAAAAGTACATTGCACTTGTTGTATTTGAATTGTAAGTCATTATATATAAAAATTAAAAATGAAATCTTAAGTTTGAATAGTGACTCCAAACTTTAGAGCAGTATTGTATAACCACATTGGTTCAGTGATGGTATAATAGGACAGTAAAGTGTGGTTCCTCTTACCTATAAACGATTCAAAAGTGTATTGTGGATGTCTTCATACACCTGATTGTAGATCTCCTCTTTCGTTTTCAAGCCATTCAGGTATTCTGGTGATTGATATAAAAATTGTAATGCAGATAAGTGACAGTTTTGTTTTAAATAATATTAACTTACATCAATTTTATTAAATAGTCTTCAAGTAATTAGTTATAAGGAGCAAGTTTACAAACCGATGGGCAAACAGCTCGTCTCCATCTCTGTTCTGTGCTTCAAGTACATGGGCCACACATGACCATCAAACAGGCCAGGAGGGTCAGGGACTGTGTACTGTCTCGTACTGGGGGTGAGAGAATAAAAATATTAATTTAAATGAGCCTTTCATTGATGCATTTCAAAACTGAACTCCTTGGACTTTCAAGCTCGCTACGCACCTTCTCCTCCTTTTGCACTCCTCGTAAGGGATGGTGATGTAATAACACTTGTCATACACGTCCATCAGAGGCCTGTAGGGAGGAAGCAAGGAGGCCTCATAAAACTTGGGTCTTGCACAGTTCTACAGAATACCTGATATTAAGGAACATGAAATCTATATTTGGAAACAGTAGGTGCTGTAAAGGCAGATATAACTCTAACGCAGCACATTACGTTCAAGAAACCAAATCAAAAACAACCCAGGCGGTCCGAATCAGCTGACACGTCCCTTATCTATACGTCTGCAGAGGCATCTGCCAAGGGCAGGCAGGGACGCTCCTCTAGCACATACGCTGTGTGAACCCTGACAACAGGTCACGTGACCAAAGGGGCACTCAGACGTTACTAAGAAGCTAATCTTCATTAACTAAAACGTTCATGGGCCTGACTGTACAGTTATGTAATACTCACTTGTAATTATACAGAAGAAATCCCTCCACGATTAGAATGTGGATCTGGTCCTCCGGAGGGCCCATTTCCGTGGCCGGCGCCACCTGTATGCCGTGAGATCGTGCGAACTTGACTGGGTTCTCCAGCCAGCCTTTGATGGTGTTCACCATGGCCTCCATGTCCATCGCTGTTATCACTGAAGAGGATGAAAACAAAAAGGCACGATGTAAAACACTGATGACGACACACGACTAAAGTGTATTCAAACACTGGATAGGGGATGAGGGTAAATGGAACAGGGATGACAATTTTAAATGGGTTTTGTTAAGGGCAATGTTTACGGAAAAAAGGGGAGTTATTGGTCACCTAGGGTCAAATCATTCTTACCATCCCACTGTTTAAAGCCATCTTCTCCCACTTGTATCTGATCCGGTGGCTGAAATAACAGTGACCAATAAAACACTGCAGAAGCCTCAAAGTGATCCATGATCTAACAGATCTGATCACACTATCATCACAAGGGACCCAACATCATGTATCCTCCAAAAATACTCTTCATTTGCTTCTTCTAACTGTGCTTTTCATCTAAGCTCATAAAAAGCAACTTACTGATCTAAAAAATGAATCTAAGTAGACAAAAAGCAGCCAAAATACAACTAAACTGAGCATTTTACAGAAATACTACTAACAAATACTATTCAAAACTACATTACAAGCCCTGCATAACTATAAAGAAAAGGCTAAAGAAAGCTAAAGCAAAGTAGGAAATGGATATTTTAACCTTGGTCTTTGCACGTATTGTGATTAAACTCCTCATGTCTCGTGACTTTGTGCTAAAATTGTGTTAAACATAGATAAACTCACCTTGAAAAAGTCATCTTGGTGTACCACACAACAGTTAGGCAAGGCTTGGACTAACCTATTGGTCAGTGTGGTTTTCCCACCATTGGTCACCCTGAAGAAAAACAAAAATATGCAAAATTGTAAAATATGTAGATTTAGAAAAATAAATAAATAAAAAGATGTCAATTTTTATGCTATATTACTGACCTAGCTAACTTACAAGACGGCTAGGTTTAAAAAATTGGCGGGATAAACGCTGTTAGCACAAAAAACATTCAACTCACTAACGTTAGCCTTATCCTCAGTTATGGATCACTAATAGGAAATATAAAATATATTGCCCTCGTAAAACAAAAACAAACAAAAAAAAAGTTAAGTTAGATATTAACCACACCAATATGACTTTATTTAACTTATTGACAACGACTGTTATTTAAAAACCTTATACAGGGCAGAAACAACGTCTCCTCAATGGTCAAAATAAAAATACCCCTTTAAACTCTAAAACTGAAGATATGACACCAAGCTGTACGTTATATTAAAATAAAATATATCAAATAAACTGCTTTATTGGTTAGTCTGACTGGATTTTTACGTGATCACTGTTTTGGTTTAACGTAGCTACACGTTGCCCGCGCGCTGTGTTTTGAATCTCCCGCCTAAAGTTAAACTCCCCGCGCGCTCCTCAAAACCGTTTAAAACCACCCACAGACTGCAGATACGAATCTTCGAGAAATTTCTGATAATTTTCACAAAAATATAAACATAATCAATCGTCTAAACACTTCTACAGACACAAAACTCGTGAAATGGCCAACGTTACGTCAGCAAAACATCACCGCAGATGAAGTTAACAGACTGCTTGGTACTCACCCGCCGATTCCTATAATGTACTTCATTTTGTCCGGTCGGTTTTCTTTCGCCGATGTGATTTTATTGACCAGTGAAGGACTTTCGGAAAGTTTGCTAACTTTGTTTGCCAAAAAAAAACTCTCTCCTTCGGCTCAGAGTGGTCCTACAAGTCGTCCATTGAATAGAATACTACCACGCCGCATGGCTATATAAGCCAGAGATGGCCTGTCAATCAAGACCCGGCCCATCGTGGATAGACCAATCAGATTGCAGACGAGGCGGTCGTAACTGGTTTGGACCACGCCCACCGTCGCTTGGGGAAGGAAATGGTGGTTTGCAGAATCATGTGAGAACAATTGAACGCTGAATGTCCGAGCACGTCCTCCAGCTGTACTACCGTAGGGTGGAAGTTATGAAGTGATCTGGGGAAAAATCTCAACACTGTGAGAGTAAACAGACACACTCTTTAAAGAGATGGCTCTTCAGTAGTTCTTGGGTGAAGGGAATGGTTCTGTTTAGAACCATGAGTTCTATATAGAACCATTTGACACTTAAATAGTTCATTTTCATGATGAAATAGTTCTTCAGATTGGTTTTTCAAAATGGTTCTATGTAGGCCTAGCACCAAAAGGGTTCTATTGTACCCTGCATCTTATTTAGTTATCTACCTCAGACTCACGAATTGCCTTTATGGAAATGTGTACAACCGTACATATAATAGCTTTTATTTCATAACTTATATTACTACACAAAAACTGTGCATTAGAATGGTGCAATACTGGTGTATATTAATGTGTATATTGTGTATATGTATATATTCAGAGTCTAATGTGTGAATGTATACCTATTTTTTCTTAATTTTTTTTGTATTTTCAATTTTTTTAAATTGTATTTTATTACTGCAAGGTGGGTAGGGTACGCACCTAAGATTTTCACTCATCTTCACATCTTTGTAACTGTGACGTGACAATAAACGTGAGTTGATTCGATGTTGTCATGTCAAGCTTGTAACAACAGAAGAGCCATTTGTGGCGCTACATAGAAGCGTTTTCAAGAAGGGTCTATTTAAAACCATATGCAACACATCCTCAGTGTACTGAAGAAGTATTTCACCATGCCCAGAACTATTTAAGCATGAAATGGTTCTATATAGAACTCACGGTTCTAAATAGAACCATTCCCTTTACTGAAGAACTCTTAAAGAACTTTTTAAAGAGCTAAGCTTAGCTGTATTTACAGCAAATAATATAGTGAATATGTGAGGCTAATATTAGCTGCAAGTGGAAATGTGTCAATTAAAGGGCTTTTGGGGTCTTATCGCAAAGCTCTTCACGCGGGCGGCTCTTAGCTGCAGTGTTGTCCCGGATGAAGAGTCATGTATTTAGGGGAAAGGTTTCATGGGACAGTGTAACCCCCTGGCACACTTGCAGAGACACATGTTTCTCCAAGTCTCATGGAGGCCAGTCAAAGTCGGGCAAACTGAGGACACGTCCACAGTCATGAGGCCGCAGGTGTTGGGTTTCACTTCAGACAGTGTGTGAACCCATATGCTGTTTAATGTTAAAAGTTTATAACGTGGGCAGTGTCCTTCTTTTTATTATAATTATTATTATCATTATTATTATTGTTACTATAACAAAGAAAAATAGAAAAACATTGACATTGACAGTCACGACTTGACTCAGCCTGCTAATCCAGTTAATGGAAAACCTTTTAATCACAGCTCTTTAAATCAAGCCATAGTTTGCTGGTAATAAGTGTAATGTTTATATAACTGTCATATTCATATTGCATTCCTACTCGTAGCCAACTGCAATGTCGAAGTGCTGCCTGTGACAATAAGGGTCATTACTTTATTTAGGTCTCTGAGTGGGTGGGCGACTGACCACTTCGTTATATGTGATGTAACTTGAGGACACATATGGAAGTAACCAACGTCAGAGCATGTGACAGAGTGTTTATGTGGTCATGTGTGGTCAAGAATATAGCAGCTTCTCATGACTGCCTTTTTCCAATTCACTTGGAGAGCACCTGAGTTTTATATGTTGTTGTATAGCACCTTACTAGCTCACCAACGTTCAAACCACAGCTCCTGAGGTTCAATCAGATATAAAACATGTTGTTCCTGTTCAAAGACATGCTCACCAGCCTTCACACCACAGCTGAGATTCACCTAAGATTAAAAGAACATTTTGTTCCTGACATGTATCTATCCCCCAAACAAGAGGTTTTCATATATTTATTATTTTCAGATTGATAAAGGACGTCTGGTGAGCCTTTCTATCATTCAGTAAGTAGCCTTGAGAATCCTGAAGAGTAAGCCAACGGCCACGTAAGAACAAGAACGTCTACACCTGTAACCCTGCCCCCAAATGGTGTGGAAAAAAAGGGAACACATGTTGAGTCATATCACTTGCACATGTATTCTATGCAATATAACAGCTGCAGTTTAATGGTGGAGGAGGCACAGTCACCCCGCTAAAATCTGGGCTTACTTTTATTAATATTATTATTATTATTATTATTATTATTATTATTATTAAATCTTACTCTATATTTAATTCCATTGTGAAGTACTTAAACATATAAGTAAGGAATCATTACCTATATTAACTCAAAAGTATATTAATTGAGTTAATATATGAATAAATTCATAAGTACATTCATATGTGAGTATGATTCTGGATCGCGTCTAAGCTGCAGCGTGTCTCATGTGAAACGTGACAAACTTGTGTGAACTCAACCACAAATGTACAGTAACGCTGAATGAGTCAGTGCAGTGTGTTTCAGAAGGCTTCCGCTGCTATGTAAACAAACGCCACGGTCAGGCTTAAACTGGCTAGACAAGCAAATTAGAGCTTTTGCAACCACAGCCTGCTCGCCACACTGGCTTAAAACATCCCTTAAAGAGGACTTCCACTATTTTTTCAAAGGTTCTGTATAATTAAACAGTTAAGATGTAAACAAAGTCATTCAGAGTGGTTTGGTGTGAAATGTTCCCTTCTAGAGAAACTCACAGTCAGAATTGTTCACAGTGGTGGTGAAGGGAACCAGACGTCTGAAGAGCTTAACGCCTCTGAAAACTTCCTCACAGAAATGGTTATGTGCTGCCTGATAGCTGTGTAATGATGCCCAGTCATAATAGCCTTTCTGTGAGTCTATCTGTGCTCATTTATGTATTTACCTACTGCTTTGTTACATTATGTGCATGACTGTACACCGATCAGGCATAACATTATGACCTTGTTTCTCATGTTGCTGTTGCTCATTGTCCATTTTATCAGCTCCACTTACTATATAGGTGCACTTTGTAGTTCTACAGTTACAGACTGTAGTCCATCTGTTTCTCTGCATACTTTGTTAGCCCCCTTTTACCCTGTTCTTCAGTGGTCAGGACACCCATGGACTCTCACAGAGCAGGTACTATTTGGGTGGTGGATCATTCTCAGCACTGCACTAACACTGACATGGTGGTGATGTGTTAGTGTGTGTTGCGCTGGTCTGAGTGGATCAGACACAGCAGTGCTGCTGGAGTTTTTAAACACCTCAGTGTCACTGCTGGACTGAGAATAGTCCACCAACCAAAAATATCCAGCCAACAGCGTCCTGTGGGCAGCGTCCTGTGACCACTGAGGAAGGACTAGAGGATGACCGACACAAACTGTGCAGCAGCAGATGAGCTATCGTCTCTGACTGTACATCTACAAGGTGGACTGACAAGGTAGGAGTGTCTAATAGAGTGGACAGTGAGTGGACACAGTGTTTAAAAGGAACCCCATGCAATGTTATGCCTATGCGGTGTATGCAAGAGGTTGCCAAGCCATTACCAAACTGGACATTCAGGGCTTTTTCCTTTCTGACATGAACAGGAAGTAAACCTGTTCAGACCGGGCCAGTACTTTTAACTCTTCACATGCTCGTTCCTGAGGTTGCAACATCTCATCTAAGCTTAGCATGTTGCCATTGAGAAAATATAAATATTAATATAATAAAAAATATAAATAAACCTGAGCTGTTTTCTTTTTTTTAAATGGTGACTGGTTTTCGGGTCTGGGGTGAAAGCCCACTCTCATTTTCTGTTACAGCCTACACACTTAAAAGTGATGGTTCTGCAAGTGTTCTTTAACAACAAAAATGATTCTATATAGAACCATGGACCTTCAAAGAACCCTTTGTATGACTAAACGTTCCATATAGCACCAAAAAGCCTTCTTCAATTTGGTCAAAATTGACATTGTAACAATAGTAGGACCCTTTTTGTTGCTATATAGCACCCTTTTCAAAAAGGTTCTATATAGAACCATCCACAGCACAATCTCCATCAACCTGAAGAAACTTTTCACAATGCAAAGAACCCTTTAATCATGCAAAGGGTTCTTTGAGTGTTCATGGTTCTGTATAGAACCGTTTTCTTTGCTAAGGAACCCTTGAATCTTTTTTAGGAGTGTAGAATTGGTTGTAACAATCTGCAGCACTGTTTTACCACAGTTTTTTGGGCGAAAATGTTTTTTTAAAATGCATTGATGCCAAAGAGGCATAAGCAGAACATTTTAAGGGAAAAAAGTCCCTCAGAATTGTTCACAGTGGTGGTGATAGGAACCAGACGTCCACCTCTAAAAGCTCCTTCACAGAAAGATATTACATGAAATGGTTATGAATGCGATGATGCCTGTTATTTTTTCAAATTTGCCACTATTTTATCGTCATCAACATTCCATATTGAAACTTCTAAGGCTGACTGATTTAGGATAGTAAATAAAACGGCTATATTTGGCGACGCCTGGTTCCCATCACCACCACAGTAAAGAAATCTGACATGGTAAGTTTCTCTACAATGAACCATTTCACATCAAATCACTCTGAATAGCATTGTTCACATTAATCAACCACTGAATTATGCCGAAATTTTCAAAAATCAGTGGATTTTGTCTTACATGTGCTTGTATATTTAGCAATACACACAGAGAAAATCAATCCTTTAAACGGTCTCTTCTCATATGTTCCCCTTAAGCCTTATTACAACATAAATTAATTGATAGGCTCTTATAAGATCTGTTAGATTGTAAAATTACATTGTTGTGAAATTTCATCCCTGATGACTGTATACAGTTGTATGCAAAAGTTTGGGCGCCCCTGGTCAAATTTAGTGTGTTGATTTTTTTAAGCGAAAATAAGTTCACATATATATTTTATGTTTTATTTATTCCAACATAGGAAACTTAGCAAATAAACAGTAATTGTGCGCTAAAATTCACAGAAAAAAAACGCCATATTTAAATGTGTTCTCTTTAGAGGATGTGTTAACTTATTTTCACTTAGAAAATCAACAAAACGTCATTTGATCAGGGGTGTGCAAACTTTTCCACATGACTGTATGTTGTCAATATTTTTTATTCAAACACAATATTATAAATATTACAATCTTACACAGATATCATGATAGAAGATGAGCATAACATGCTAAAAAATAAGAGCAAATACACATAACGGCATGTTTAATTTTGAAATTTTGACATTCAGAACATAAGGCAACACAAAATCACCATCAAACACATCTGTGCCAAGTCATATTTTCCAGCAAGTACTGACTGGCACTTCTGTGAAAACGTTAAAAGCCAAAATCTGAGCATGATACCAGTGACAGAAAGCATTCAGAAACGTTTCAAAAAAAAGGATCCAGATCTAAACATGGAAAATCTGTATGAAGAACCAGCAAAATGGATTAACGATACATTCTAGCCGGGCGCATGTACACGGAGACGTAAAGGATGACCAAAGGATGTCCAAACCTTTGCATGCATTACTTTTAAACGTCGCTCCTGAGTAGACACACCCATAGTTTTGTATAGGCGGGTGACATAACATTCCTTAAAGATGGCACTGGTCAGTGGCACACAGCAAAAACTATATACTGGCAAGTAGAAGCATCATAATTGTAGACAATATGCAATATTTCTCATTAGGATATATTAGCATATTTTAAGATTACAGTACTGTGCAAAAGTCAGAGACCACCTGCCATTTATTTAATTTCCAATCAAAACATTAAGAACAAGGTATGCATTTTTCATTGTCAGGAAAAAAGCAGAAAACATATTTTGCAGCAAATTACACTAAAAAAATGAATATAATCAGATTTCTCAGTGTTTAGTGTGTATACTTTTTACCTTTGTTACAGATTCCATTCTTTTCAGGAGACTCACTTTCAGTATCTCAAAGAAATCTGCTGCCACACCTCCAAAGTTCAGTCTCAGAAGTTGGTTTAGCATTAGAATAATGAATAACATGTATTTAATGGCTATTTAGAGCAAAAATTAAACAACTGAAGGGTCTCGACTTTTGCACAGTACTGTTTTAACCTTTTTCTAGAAACTACTTACATTAAGTGATTTTGCCAAGTCAAATCATCAAACTACTTACTATACGTTATTTTACTTCATTCAAACATTATTTCTTTAGATTATCTGCCAGTGTAATAAGAACGTTTCTATAAAATAATATTTTATAGCTTAAAAAACATATCACTGCTGTCTGAACAAAAACTTGTATCTCCAAAATGGTAACTTTACAGGAGAAGAAAAAACATACCTCACTTTTAATGTAAGTCAATGGAACCAGACTTTTTTCCAAGCATTTTTTGACCATTTTATTTGGCTCATTCTTCATGAAATTTAAACCCAATGTAGAGCTATTTCCAAACAATGTCAAAAACTGAACAATGACAAAAATAGAGATATGAGGTTTTGCTCTGACAGATATAGAAATAGGTCATAATTTTCTTCCAACAATCTCCTAATTAAAAATCCTAGATTTACTGGCTACACTTAAGATGCATTCACTTGCCATTATGTATTATTTTTGCAGTGCAGGGTCATAAAGCAGGGGTAGGTCATTACTGGGGGTTGCAGCACAGAGGGTCTGTAGAGCTTACACATCCTGCTACTGAATACAGAGACGTTTGTCGGGGTGGAGTGCCACCTGGTGGTGTTCTTCTGACAAGACTTGAAATATTGTGCCTTTTTTCCTCCCTCTCAGCAGTAAACCGCACTCTTTAGCGCTGATCTGAGACCAGTGTGTGATGTCTGCTATTATAACAGGACACAGAGAGAAGAAGCTGGACTTAGATCAGCGAGTGAGAGTGATTTCTACCGAAAGGCCCTCCAGCCTCACAGGACCGGCTCCCCGGCTGTCGTCGTCGCAGGCCTGGAGAGAGATGTTTGATTTAGTGGCGCGGTCAGTGTAAAAGCAGAGAGACAAACAAACGTAGTGACTATGAATACTTTCACAGTAATGCATTACAGATCTGCTCACCTGTCTGTCTTGGTGCATTCTTGCTGTTCTTGCGGTTGATGCTCTCTGTCCTCCTGTTCCATTCTAAACACACACAAGCATCATGGGTAACTGAGTTTGTGGTGTTCGGCATATTTTGTGTTTTATATATTTTTCCCCAATATGTTAAACTCAGAAACTGTGCATTTAGCAGAAAAAAAATCCATATTTAAGTGTGTTCCCTGTAGGAGTTGTGTTATTATTTTTACTTAAAAAAAGTAAAAAATCAACAAAATATGAAATTTGACTGGGAGGTGTTCAAATATGACTGTATGTTTGTGTGTAGTTAATTTGTCAACTACACTTTTAAAAATGATGGTTCTTCAAGGGTTCTTTATATATATATATATATATATATATATATATATATGGTTCTTCTATTGCATCAACCATTCTCCATCAATCTGAAGAATGCTTTCATGATGCAAAGAACCCTTTAATCATGCAGCAGGTTCTTTGAGTGTTCATGGATCTATATAGAACTATTTTCTTTACTAAGAACCCCTGAAGAACCATCATTTGAAGAGTGTACTCATAGATTAGATTGATTCCATAAAAAGAATGGATAAATAAAGGAGGAGCAGTATGTATAAGAGAACAAAAGAGTGCTAATTTGCAAAATATTGGCATTTAAATTCTCACAATATTCGATAATATTAATTATCGGCCCACTTTATCAGAAACCCCTCCCTTGTAGCTCCAACTTGGTGTGCAGTCTGTAGCCCTGATGCACAGCTTGTGTTAGACGCCCTCTAGCCGATGGCTAGAGTCACTGCTGCATAGTGTTTCTGATAAAGTGGCCAACAAGTGTAGGTGCAAGGTAGATGTAGTTAAACCGGCGATTCAGTGCAGATATTAAATATAAATATGTGTTGGGAGACGACAGGTTACCGCTCTTTTCGTGCTTTGATCCTTTCTTCATCATACCTGAAACACACAAAGAGCAAAATGACTCAAACGACCTTGTAAAGTCATCTTAAATCATCTGCACGGAGGACGGACTGATTTAAGCACTCACTGTATGACACACTCAGGGATGTGGATGTGCTCCATGGGGACAATCTGCTCCAGTTCCTCTAAGCTGTGCACGTAGCGGATTTTGTTCATGAATTTCACGCTGCAACAAAAGGCAAAGAGATGAAACACTTTTATGGGTGGATATAGTTTAATGTAGAAGTATAGGCAATAAACGTATTTCATGTTATAAATGTTCATCATAGCAAATATGGAACAAATTGTCTGTTTTGACATCAGAATTTTTAGTTGTGTGCAAAAGTTTGGGCATAAGTGTAAATAAGTTAACACATCCTCCGCAGCAGGGGGGTCAAACTCAACCACTAAAAGGGCCATATTAAAAAATCTCAACTAATCCGTGGGCCAGAGAACACCTATGCTTTATTTAATGTTTAGTTAATATTTTGCTATAAACCAAACTGACCAATGTTAATACTAAATATGCAAAAACGTCAACAGTAAAATTCAGGTACTTGAAGTAGACCTCGAAATATTACATTAATACTTGAAATATTCAAAGTTTAAATGTCCACAGGAGCTCAGTCCTTTAATTCTACCTATTTACTTGAACTAGACACCTGGCATCTTTTCTTTGCTGCAAGTTCATCAATACTTGGGCTCAGTTTCTGAGACGCTGAGCTGGCGTTTTGGTGTTTATGTTGGCTAAATCGCAGCTGAAATGCATTTGGTGATTATTACTGGAGTGGAATTGTGTAGAACTGAGGTTTAACCGCTGTCCTATAGATTGTTGTTGGTGTAGGAGAGCCAGAGCGCACATTACGTTGCAGTGCATGCTGGGGACTTTAGTGTAGTGCATTGTAAAACAGGCTAATATTAACAGAAAATTAAAATACTTTTGCTGGCCAGATAGGATTGTACCCTAGAACTGACTAATAAGATTGCCCTGTGTTTGACATATTGGCTCTACAACGAGCACAATTTTACACATTTTAACGCACAATTACTGTTTATTGGTTGGGAAAAAATAAAATGATGCCTGTGCAAAATTTATGGCACATTTTATATTTTATGTTTTATTTTTTCATGATGTTAAATTCAGCAAGTAAACGGTAGTTGTGAATTAAAATGTGCAGAAGTGTGTTCTCTGTAGAGGATGTGTTCACTTATTTACACTTAGATCAACAAAACATTGAATTGGACTGGGGGGGCCTGGTCAGTTTTACATAAAATGTGTATGTATGCCTTATCTATGTTTATATATCTATCTATCTATATCTATGTTTATATATCCTTGCTATAATAACTTACCAACAGCATTTGAAAACTCCAGCTACTCTTTACAGCAGGGGTGTCAAACTCAACCACTAAAAGGGCCATATTAAAAAATCTCAGCAAATCCATGGGCCAGCTGTGTTTATTATTTTGCAATGACCCGAACTGGCCATTGTTGATTCAAAATATGCCAAAACTGCAACAGGAAAATAGACATTGAATACATCTTCACAAATTATTCTAAATAAAAATAATTTATTTTAGTTTTTTTTTTTAAACTGCCTATTTGCTTGAATTAGACACCAGATATTCTTTTTGTGTAACTGCTGGCCTTTAGATTGTTGTTGAAGGAAGGTGGTCAGAACGCACCCTATGTTGCAGTGCATGCTGGGGACTGTAGTGCATCTCAGGGTGCAATAGGCTAATAAGAACAGAAAATTAAAATAATTCGGCCAAATAGGAGTGTCACGGGCCTGGCTTGGCCCGCAGGCCTTGTGTTTTTATGCACATTTGGTTCCAAATTAATCCTCATAAATTCATTGACTATGTTGACAGACGTTAAGAACTTTTTTCCTTCTCTAGTAAAGTTACTCTTTTGATGTGTTTTCTCATGACTGATAATATACAGTGTGCTATGAAGCATAGTTCAGTCTATGACTGTATAAGTATAACTCTCACTCGGAGTCAGTAAAGAATGGAGATGACAGTGATGATGATGATAAAGAAGATGATGACTTTTACCTGATGAAGGGTCTGGAGATGGCCAGAACTGTGCGTATGAACCATGAAGGATGTGCGATGATCAGAGACTTCAGGTTCTTCCTCAGTCTATAAGCAAAGGTTTTCATGTCAGTTCAAATGTAACCTCAGTGCTGTTTTTCTGCATCGCTTTAGATTCATGAAGAATGAGCAGCTGTGGCTGTACTGACCTTCTGTCAATCATCTGATAGCACTTTTTCAGCCAGCTGATACCTGGCATCTTACTGCGAGGGGTTCCGCCGTTCATGTAGATGATCAGATAATCCTCAGCTACAAGCATCTCCAGACTGCTCACTACATACCTAAATGCAGAAGGGGGGTTGAGGGATGGGAGCGGGGGGCGGATGGGGGTCCAACGAAATGGAATGAGAACCAGATAAAGAGGCATTAGAAAAAGACAATATATACAGTAAGAAAGGGGTAAATGGTTTTAAAAATAATAATAATAATAATGATAAACTTTATTCATATGGCCTTTCAGATACAATTGTTTACATAGTGTCTCATATACATGACCTTTTATACATTACAATGCAGTTGCATTTACAAAAAAACCCCCCAAAAAAACCAAGTAAAAACTAACAGAGATTTATAGAAAATAAAAGAAATAAAAATGTCCATGAAAATAAAAAAATATAAATAAAAAGTCCATGAAATAATTTATCTTTTTAGTAATATTAGGTACAAGCCACTAAGCTGTGCTTAAAAAATTATATATAAATATATTTTCACTGAGCTGAGCTGAAACTGGAGTTAGTATTAATAGGCATCCTTAGGCAACATTTCCAAATATTTCCAACATGCAATATTAGTCTGTTACTCACAGAAAGAGGTTTTCCATGATGTAATGGTAATCCGGGCAGCTGCTGTCGGGCAGGTAGCACGCCGAGAACACGATGATGGCATTCAGGCCCTCACCATAATAACCTGCAGGACAGGAACGAGAGCAAAACAAAAACAGTGACACATCAGGAAACACACGCCACGTGTGTCAAATATAAACTAAAGTGTGCTAGAACTGACCTCCGTGAGAGATGACCCGCACGTACGGCCGAATGACCTGCATGTCAATGCGATGTTCCTGCTCTCCGATGATGACCGTTCTCCACAGGCGGCCATTCCCGCCGTCCTCCCCCACTTCGTCGGCCCCTTCGGCAGGGCCTGATTTCGCAGAGGCCACTGGCGTGTCATCTGGAGGCAGCACAAACAACAAACTATTAAGGTTAATGGACAGAATGGGGTCCTTCTTTTTAGTCTTGTGCAAAGCCATACAGTGCACAATGATAGGAATGATATATGCTACATCTTTATGTTTGTATTATGTACAATGGACACCCCGGTCATACTTTATCAGAAACCCCTCCCTTGTATCTCCACCATGCTGCAGTAATCCAGCTAAATAACTGACTTGTTGATGTAGCCAATTGGCCACTTATTGTCATACTTACTAGTGATCAAAAAATCCAGGACTGGAACCTGAATTCAAAAGCCCATCATCAGTGTTCAGTTTCTGAACACAGAGCCGTTCTTGTCTGGATATTTTTGTATATCGTGGTCAGAAACGGACCAATGATGAATGTGGTAGGAATTGTGCAGCTACAGATAGGCTACGTTCTGCATCTGTCCACCTATATAGTGGACCTAGCAGGTAGCTGTTTCTAATAAAGTGTCCAGTCAGTGGAAGTATAGGGTAGGGGTTTCCAATAAAGTGGCCAGTGAGAGAACACACAAGGCAGGGGTTTCCAATAAAGTGGCCAGTGAGAGGACGCATAAGTAGGTGTTTCTAATAAAATGGCCAGCGAGTAGAAGTACAAGGTAGGTGTTTCCAATACAGTGGCCAGTGAGTGGAAGCACAAGGTACGTGTTTCTAAGAAAGTGGCCAGCGAGTAGAAGTAAAAGGTAGGTGTTTCTAATAAAGTGGCCAGTGAGTGGAAGTAGAAGGTAGGTGTTTCTAATAAAGTGGCCAGCGAGTAGAAGTACAAGGTAGATGTTTCCAATAAAGTGGCCAGCAAGTGGAAGTACAAGGTAGGTGTTTCAAAAAAAGTGTACCTATATTTACATGGTACTATAACTTTAAATAAGATATCTAGCAAAAGACTCCAGAACGGTCCGAAGCCAACCTTCCCATTCTAGGTCGTTGCCATTGGTGATGAACTCCAGGGAATCTGTCTCATCAGGAGTTTCAATGTCATCAACGTTAATGTCCAGATCGTCGGGCGTATCCAGGAAATCATCGGACAGCAGGGATCCTTCACTCTGGTCCAGAGACAGGTTCATGTCTGGGGCTACGAGGGTTCGCCGCTTCCGATGGGCTGCACCCCCACCAGTTGCACTGATGTGCAGCGAGCTGGGGGGAGCTGGATAAAAATGTAAAGCACACGTCAGAATTACAACTATAGCAGCCTTTTAAAAAAGTACTGTGGCCTTAGCAAGAGTGAAGGAAGGAGTAAACATGGTGACCCTTTATTTGGAAGGTCAACTGTAGATGCTTGGCACTGACCTTATCAATAATTTACATTGAACTAAATATCTATTAAATGCATCTTTACTTTTCCCCAACACTAAACCTAACAATCAACAGAAATTCTGCATTTGAACTTGTAGGAAAGAAAAAACACAAATACTAAATCTCCTTTGATAACATAAATTACTATCTCTTTGTCATTCCTACAGAAAAGATTCAAATCACAGAAAAATACCTTTGTGAAATAAGCAGTAAGTACTATATACATATTGTGTGTGTATATATATATATATATATATATATATATATATATATATACACACACACACACACACACACATATATATATATATATATATATATATATATATATATATATATATATATATGTGTGTGTGTGTGTGTGTGTGTGTGTGTGTATGGACCTGTAGGTTATGGGGCAAAACCAATATATGTGAAATTTATAACCACACATTTTTCCAAGTAATTTTATGGCTGTTTATTTTCGTCCATTCATCATGAAATTTACAGTCTATGTAAAGGACAACAGGCATTTTCAAATTATGTCAAAACTGAAAAATGCAAAAAATGGATATACAAGGTTTTGTTCTGACAGCAGTGATACTTAACTGGGCTGTATTTAGTATTTAGTCCAAACACTACTGCTTATTCTAAACAGTAATATTGTAATATTGTAAACACTAAATGCTTCTAATATTAGGATAAATATAGTTGTATGCAAAAATTGGAATATATGCTGAGTTTAACATATTGGAAAAAAATATAAAATGTGACAACTTTTGCACAGACTAGCTTTATTTTTTTTATCACCGTGTGTTAAATTCAATTGCATTAAACAACCAATGTACTTTGAACTGGGGTGCCCAAACTTTTGCATACTACTGTACATATAACATTAATGGTATAGTTAATAATGATTTATGTTTGATAATGTGTTTTATATGTCAATGGTGTTTGTTTATCCATTTCCAAAGCTCTCCTCTTGGCAACGCAGTATTAATTGTAGTTACCATCCAAACATTGGTTTATCAGAACTTCATTATGTTAAATCCGGTGTGCTGCTGATGGAACGTAACCCCTTAGAATCCCAGGGAAATTACAAATTATTACAGTTTTATTTAGGTTATAGATGTGTGTAGTAAAACTTTTGGCCTGCCGGTGAATCCTGGGCATTTAAGGAGTTAACAAATCCATGCAATTGCTGGAGGACACTGAGGAAAAATCTGGAACCAAACCTGACTAGTTTTTATTATGTTAGCTTCTGTAGCCTATTTGTATCTATTATGGCCTATCTAAATAAAGTGGGTCTGGACACTAATTACTCAGTCTTTTCATGTAGCAGTGAAGTGTAGACTAGATGTTAAACACAACTTACATGTTCTCCCCTCTCCAAGAGCACAAGAAGACTCCATATCGCCCTCCTCTGGAAGTGGCCTTACAAATATACACAGACAACATTGCAAACCTCAGTTCTCGAAATCATATTCTATACACCAGTGAACTTGACTGTATTCAAAATATCTGCATAATTCAATCACTGAGATGGAAACAAAGTCATTTAGAGTGGTTTAATGTGAAATGGTGCGTTGTAGAGAAACTAACGGACTCAGATTTCTTTACAGTGGAGGTGATAGGAACCAGGGGTTTCCAAATATAGCCATTTTATGTACTATACAAAACGATCAGTGAGGCTTATGTGTTTTTTAATATGTAATGTTGGTAAAATGGTAAAATAGCGGCAAATCTGAAAAAATAATAGTCACCAGGCAGAGCATTCATAACCATTTAATATATAATCCCTAATAAATTAAACTCATCAGACGTCTGGTTCCTATCACCACCATTATAAAAATTCTGACTCTGCAAGTTTCTCTAGAATGGAGCGTTTCACACCAAACCACTCTGAATGACATTGTTTACATCTTAACCATTTAATTTTTATCATTCTTGAAAAAAAAAGCTAAATTATCCTTTATAATGATTAATCAAAGTGTCTTATTCACATAGACACTGAATGGGGCTTGTGTTAAATGCAGCAGACTCAGTCATATGGAAATTAGCAGCTAGTTTCCTCATTAATACTGCGATGGGCTCGCTGGTGTGGGGGGTTTGCAGCTGCTTCAGTGCTAACAAAGTGCTGCTTAACTTGCACAGGGTGTCAACCCCCCTCCATACACATACACACACAACCTCCCACGCAGCATGCAGTGCAAACAGGACTGAATGAAAAGCATAGAGAGAAGCAGTGATGAAGAAGAGCAAAACAAACCAGCAGGACTCTGATCTAACAGAATTACAGACTAATCTGCTCCTCTTTAGCACTCAGTGATGTGATCCCATCACTGAGGTATCACATTATATCCATTATATCTGATTTCACAGGCTTTACTCAACACAGAGCATCATTTATGATGTAACAGAGCAAAATCTGCTTGAGAAACAGGTACAACCCAGCAATAAGAAGCCTGGTTTAACAACAGGCCATAAACACAACCCATATAGAGAAAACCAAAGCTGCCCTGTCACTTACCTTCTTATAAAAGGTGAGAATAAAAATAAAGCCTTTGGTGATTCCTTTACTTTAAAGCAAGTCCCCTACTCTGTCGTTTCCCAAAATGTCATTGTTTCAAAGGCGTTTACTATCTAAAGCATCACTTTTCATCAGTGCAGGCCTGCTGATGCTGAAGCTGTGTTTCTCTAAGCCTGCCCTGCCTCCATTTTCCCGGTGATGCTGCTGTGTTGTTGGCTTGTGCCTGCGTCACATGACGTGGCTCATTACCATTTAAGGAGAGAGAGCTGCACCTGCTCCCTCTCTGCTCTGCACAGAGGCCGCATGTGAGGATGCACAGCCAAAAAACAAAACACACTGTTACTGATCCCAGATCAGCTGAGAGCTCCATCTGCCCTTTTTCTGCCAAGTCAAAGAGGAGAAGCTCCAACTGCACTGAAAAAAAGTAACGCTTGGCTCAAATGTGCACATCAAAGGGCAAATCCACCAATTTCTCAAAATGACTGCATCAGTCAGTTGTTAAGGTGTAAACAAAGTCAGCATTAAAGGGGCATTTTATCACAAAATTCTGCATAATTAAATGGTTAAGATGTAAACAGAGTCGTTCAGAGTGGTTTGGTGTGAAATGCTCTGTTCTAGAGAAACGTACAGAGTCAGAACTGTTCACAATGGTGGTGATAGGAACCAGATGTCCACCTCTTGAAGCTCCTTCACAGAAAGTTGTTACATGAAATGATTATGAATATGCTGCTTGATGACTGAGACACTATTTTGCGACAAGCTTCTGGCCTAAAATGTGCTTTTTAAAATTTGGCAGGGAGGTACATGCATGAAAAATCTTGGATATAAAAACTAAAATAACATATGTATGTTCATTCGTTTTGGTTAGTGAATAATGTATATTCATCCTATATTTGTGTTGTTGACATGGTGAACCCTGGTTCCTATCACCACAACTGTAAAGAAATCAGTACATTTTACATCTCAACGAAAATTTAGCAACATTTATTACCCAAAACCACCAGTAAACCTACAGCTTTTTGTGGATTTAAATTCTTCAACACTGCTGTACAAAAACCCCTGTAAGTTTCTCTAGAAACCCCACATCTTTTTTAATTTTAATTTAAATTATCTTTGTATTTTCTCATTTGAAAAGCACTTTGAATGACAGCAGTGTATGAAAGGTGCTATATAAATAAACCTGCCCTGCCTTGCTTTGCCTTGAATGGTTAATTTTTTTCTGAGTTACTTTGTTAACATATTAATGAAAATCTTATGCAAAATTTTGAAAAATTGGTAGAATTCCCCTTTAAAGGAATAATTCACTGTAATAACCAAATTTATAGAATGTTCTATTTAACCCAAATGTAATCAAGAGATCAAGATATGTTTGGTGTCTGAAGTTTGGTTCTTTGGCTTTGCACTGGAGCTACGAGGCTAACATAGCTAACAAGTAATGGAGGCCTATGTGGCCCAAAAAACATTTTGAAGTGAAATGTTTCTTTTATGTGGAAATTATGTGCACATCTGACTCAAGTAAATTCAACACTATTTCAATAAATCTGTGTGTTTCCAAACTGCCAATATTTTAATGATCACGTTCGCAAAGCAAATTGCTATTGATCTCATTGTTAATAATGTAATTTAAAATACTTAACAGTACTTATGAAATATTATAAGCTCCAAGAAGTGCTTTGCATACATACATAAAGAAGCTTCCATCTGGAGTGAATTTGGGGATTTTGCATGAACACCTAAACTGAAATGAACTTAAAATGTTTCATTTTTCATTCTAAATACTGACCCAGCAGGACTCTGAATACATGCTCTGGTTCATTCACGCTCACAATGCCTGTTCTGTATTTCACACAATTTAAAATCACTCCACACCTGGGGAAGTCATCATCCTGCCATTCATCTCTCCCTTCTATGTGGTCCAGCAGTGTAGACAGGTCAGGAGTGCCCATTCTGCAAGGGCCTGCAAGACAACACAACATAATCAAATTATTCTCTGTGGAACATATTAAACCATGCACAACTTCGTTATTTGAACATTTAATTTACCTGTTGACTGACCATACATGCTCTGACCACAAATGCATTGCTCTGTGACAATCCAAAACCACCAGTGTTGGGAGAAAAGCTCGTATCTCCAAAATGGTAACTTTACAGGAAAAGGAAAAAACATGCTTTACTTTTAATGTAAGTCAATGGAACCAGCGTTTTTTCCAAGTAATTTTGGGTCATTTATTTTAGTCCATTCATCATGAAATTCACACACAATGTAAAGAGCAACAGGCATTTTCAAAAACTAAAAAACGTCAAAAATGGAGATACAAGGTTTTCTTCCAACAGCAGCAATATGTAATGTTGATGCTGGTAAAATAGTGGTAAAAAAAAGTACTTTTGGGGGACTATTTTGATGTATGTCTCCACTATGAATAAAGTTAAAAAATGAATTTTAAGCTGAAATTTTCTCAGAACTACCATAAACCAGAGTCTTAGGCATCAGGCAGTGAATTCATAACCATTTCATGTATAACTTTCCGTGAGGGAGCTTTTAGAGGTGGACGTCTGGCTCCTTTCACCACCACTGTGAACAATTCTGACTTTTCGTTTCTCTAGAACAGAGCATTTCACACCAAACCACTCCAAGTTGTTTACATCTTAATGATTTGCTTGAGCTGAAATTTTGGAAAATTGGTGGAATTCCCCTTTCATAACAACAACATTAACAACAGCAGCTACTCAAACTTTAGCCTGCTGCAAAATAATGCAAAATAATTTCATGGGATTTTTGTTATGCCAGTGTTCTGTAAAGCTTGTCCAACATAGCAACAGTTGCTACGAAAGCACATATTTGTGGGCGGAGCATGGATAGTAATAAGTTAATTCTTACAATAGAACCAAATGTAGCTGTACTGTTCTGAATGTTTTGTGCAGTTTTGGGTCACAGGGTGATCCCATGGGCGGCATGTGAGGGGGTCATGTGACACAAGTCTCCCTGTAGCTACAAGTCAGTCTACGCTGGAAGAACCTCCAGAGCTGGCATGCTGGAAAGGCAGGAGGGGGCCGGAGGTTTTAATCCTCCCTCATAACCTGCTAATCCCAAGATGAAGTGGTGAGCTTCTGATGCACTGAGACAAACGCCCACCTGACTCTGTTCACTGACCTCACCTCATTCATCTAGTACAGTGTGTTAACTTCAGCATGTGTTTACTTTTGTAAGTATGTTTTATCCCTTTAAACTGCATTACCACGTAAAAACTTCATAACCAAGTAACTTATAGTAGCTAATGATGTGGTGGGTGCTCTACCCAGAACATAAACATTCACAGGTCACCAAATTCACACGCAACATCCACCCTCCATGGTACCATGAGGCGCAGTGCATACGCACACTACAATGACTTAAACCAGACTTGGTATTCAGTCATTAACTACTATATATAATTTGTTACTTGGTAATTGAAATGAAACTAATGCAAGTCAGGATGCTTTTTTATTTTTTTCTGCAAACAACTTCAGAATTCAATAGAGGAGCTAATACTTAAAGTGGACAGTCTTTGATGACAATCTAGCCATATATATATATATATATATATATATATATATATATATATATATATATATATATATATATATATATATATGTTGCTGCTGTCGGAACAAAACCTTGTATCTCCATTTTTGTTGTTTTTCAATTTTTGAGATCATTTTAAAGAACCCATTGCCCTTTACATTGTGTGTAAATTTCATGATGAAGGGACCAAAAGAAACGGCCCAAAATGACTTGGAAAGACGTCTGGTTCCATTGATTTACATTAAAAGTAAAGTATGTTTTTTCATTCTCCTGTAAAGTTACCATTTTGGAGATATAAGTTTTTGTTCCAAAAACAGCGATATATATATATATATATATATATATATATATATATATATATATATATATATATACACATATATATATATGTGGGGATTTGAGAACACAACTAAAAGTACAATATACTTGAACCTGTTTAACTACAGCTTAACTACTCTCCCATACACTACACAGTGTACTGTGTATACATTAAATGCAGGACAGCAGACAATAGACAATAAGACAGAGAAGACAAATATGCAGCACATATCAGTAATGTCTGTTTGTGGATTAGCTTTATTCAATGTAAACTCAGTCCCTGGCAGCAGCTTACACTGTCCAGACAGAGTGTACTGTACATATATATATATATATATATATATATATATATACACACTTCCAAATTTAGGTATAATTTAGCTTTTAGATGTAAGGAAAGTCATTTAGAGTGATTTTAACATGAAATGGCCATGGTCACATCAACATAGCCATTATATTTTCTATCCAAAAGCATCAGTAAATCTAGACGAGTCTTCTGAGTTTATATATGTAATGCAGATGATAGATATAATAAAATAGTGATAAATCTAAAAAAAATAAGTTTTCTCTTGGGGACTATTTTGCCTCACAACACCTTGCATGCTCTTTCATAAATGGATGAATGGGAAAAAAATATGTTTTAGGCTAAAAGCTTATCTCAGAACTGGACGTCTGGTTCCTATCACCACCACTGTAAACAATTCTGATTCAAGAATGGAGCATTTCACACCAAACCACTCTGAATGACTTTGTTTACATCTGAACAGCGTTACACTGAAACTTTGAAACATCAGTTCCTCTTTGAAGTGTAAGAGTGATGAATGGAAGGGAGGAGTCACTGACAATCCTTAAAGTTTAAAGGAATACACCAAAGTTTTTACTGTGATCTCTATCTGATGTGTCTGCATCATATGGGTGATTAACATAGACGGTCATTTCAGTGGACCTCCCTTGGCTTAAAGCAACTGCCCATTGGCTGCTATTGTAAGTATGTTTTAAAAAAATTTTTTCTGTTCTTTTCTTAGCGTTAGGAAAACCATTGGAAAATATTATCTGCGCTAACTGACCACACAACACAGATACAGAAGACAGAGGTGAGGCTGAAAAACACTGGACTATTCCTTTCAGGTGTTAAATCAGTTAAGAATATTCCACTGGCAGCAGGTTAAACAGAACAGAATGGGCTGTACTCACACAAGCTGAATGAACACTGGTGTCACTCCCTCCAGTCTTTCAGCGCTGAGTCCGCTGCTGACCACAGGTGCAGGAGGTACACAGCAGCCTCTGTTCTCTGTGATGGACTGTGACTGTGAATTTTCAGTC